TTGTTTGGCGGGTCCAGGCTGGGGATTCGAACCCACCACCTTAGGTGTACGTGGCTGGCGCCTTAGCCGGTTGAGCTATAGGCGCCCAGCCTACATGTACTCTTGAGAAAAAGGGATATATAGATTTTTATAAAATCATGTAAACCATTTTCATAAATTCATGTAACCACCACCACAGTCACGATGTAGAACTGTGACTGGGTGTGATGGCTCATGCCTGTAATCCCAGTGCTCTGTGAGGCCAAGGCAGGTGGATGGCTTGAGCTCCGTTCAAGCTCAGTTCAAGTTAAAGTTCAGTTCAGACCCCATCTCTACTAAAAATAGAAAAACTAACTGGGTGTTGTGGCTCATGCCTGTAGTCCCAGCTACTCAGGAAGGTGAGGCAAGAGGCTTACTTGAGCCTAAGAGTTTGAGGCAGCTGTGAGCTATGACACCACAGCACTCTCCCCTGCGTACAGAGACTCTATCTCAAAAAAAAAAAAAAAGATAAAGAACTGCTCTAGTACTCTAAAGAAACTCGTGTATGCTGCCTCTTGGTAGTCATATCCTAATCCCTGGCAAGCAGTATTCTGTTTTCCATCATGATAATTTTGTTTTTTATTTTAAGAATATTCTATACAGCCTGTCAATAGTGGCATGTACCCTGTAGTCCCAGCTACTTTAGAGCCTTAGGTAGGAGGATCACTTGAACCCAGGAGCTCAAGGCTGCTGTGAATTATGATCAAACCCAGGACTCCAGCCTAGGTGACAGAGTGAGACCCTGTCTTTTAAGAAAAAAAATTGTTTTATAAATGGCATTTTATTTATTTATTTTTATTTTTTTTAGAGACAAGAGTTTTACTTTGTCACCCTTGGTAGAGTGCTGTGGCATCACAGCTCACAGCAACCTCCAACTCTTGGGCTTAGGTGATTCTCTTGCCTCAGCCTCCTGAGTAGCTGGGACCACAGGTGCCCACCACAACACCCAGCTATTTTTTGTTGCAGTTTGGCTGAGGTCAGGTTTGAACACGCCACCTTCAGTGTATGGGGCTGGCGCCCTACCCACTGAGCCACAAGCGCCACCTATCAATAGCATTTTTAATAGTACAGCTTGAACATCTCTAATTAGAAATCTCAAATGAGGCCAGGCATGGTGGCTCACACTTGTAGTCCCAGCTACTCTCGAGGCTGAGGCAAGAGGATTGCTTAAGCCCAAGAATTTGAAGTTGCTGTGAGCTATGATCTCATAGATCTCTACCCAGGGCAACAGAGTGAGACTCTGTCTCAAAAAAGAAAGAAAGGAACCCAAAATATTCCAAAATAAAATATAAACCTTTTGCTCACTGGAGCATTTTGGATGTTTTGATTAGAGATGTCCATCTAGTAGTTATGATGTAAATATTCCATAATTCAAAAAAATCCAAAACATGAAAACAATATGTCAAGCATTTTGATTGAGTATACTCATCCTGTACTTAAAAGTATTTTAAGTAGTCATAGAGATTAAGTAAAGTTAGTTCAGCCTTTCACCAAATTGTATTCAAAGGGAGGTTACTTTTGGTGTGTCTTGCCTGTGGTCTAGTCTGTGGGAAGGCAGGAGCTATCTCTTCCTGCCTTGGGATTCATGATGCATGTCTGCATGTTTAAAGGTTCTTACAATTCTTTTGCAGAAGAAATCTGTTAACTTTATCTAATGCAGTTCTCCTAAACTTATTTACATCCCTCTCTTTTACTCAGTACCCCAGTGTGTAGGTCACTATGGAGGTTTTGAGACAGATTGTGTTATGATCCCTTATTTCAATTCCAAGAAACATAGTGGACAGCATCCTTTCTGACTTAGCTGTGCAGGTTTCAACTTGGTTGGTTTATTGGTATTGCTGGTTGGGCTTCATTTGTTTTCATGTGCATGGATTTTACGTTTCTTGGTTTTTGTGTATCTCAAAACTTTATTGTAATGACCCACATATGATCCTCTATACTCTACTGGGACTTTTGTAGACATCAGCCTGAGAAAGGCTGATCCAGTATGTCATTGTTGTTTGGCAGGCCTGGGCTGGGTTCAAATCCACCAGCTCCAGTGTATGTGGCTGGCATCCTAGCCACTGAGCTACATGTGCCAAACTGTTGGTACAGTATGTATCTATTTGAAAAAGTTTTTAGATTTTAAAACTTTAACTGTGTTTATATCCTTAAAACCATCCATGTTCTTAGGCTAGTTGCTCAATTGAGAAAGAAAAGCTAGGTGATGCCTTAAAGGTTCACTAAGCCTGTGGCATGGCGGGTTCTGGGGTAGGAGGTAGTGGGGAGGAATGGAGGCACCCACAGCCTAGTTCAGGTTCTTTGTCCCTGTGTGGGAGGTAGAGTTCACATCGGGCTGCTGAGGAGGAGTAGTGGAATCATAGGAAACCTCAGGTGTAAATTCCTGCGTAACTGTATTTTTCACTGCTTTTTATAAAAGCCAGTACATAATTGGTCCATCATTTGCATTTTAAACGTGTTAACTTTGCTACTTTATACAATCTAGCATTTTCTAAATGTTGAGAGCTCATTATTTTTGGAAAAATACATTTATCTGAAACTGTACGGCGTTCTACATACAGTGGGATCAATCTAGTTTAGCGTATTCATTGAAATGATCTCCCTAGGGTGAGTCTAGTTCAGCCAGACTCTTAAATGGCTTTTGCACAGGCTTCATTGTTGCAGTGAAATCCTTCTTTCCCTGGAGCCTGCTTTTGGAGATAGCTTGGTGATGATTACCATAACGTAAACACTGTTTTGGATTTCCAGGGTTTCTATGTTGCACTGAGACTGGTGGCCTGTGCACAGAGTGGCCATGAAGTTACCTTGAGCAATCTGAATTTGAACATGCCGCCACCTAAGTTCGTGAGTGTCCAAATCCTTCCAGTTCACATTCTTCTAATGCTGCATGTGTATGGGTATCTTAGTGTTTTCTATCCTCTTCCCTGTTTTTGTTACTAAGGTGAAATTCACATAGTATAAAGTAACAACTTTAAAGGGAGCAATTCGGTGACATTTAGTACATCCACAATGTATTATCACCTTCTTGGACCATCACAAACATACCATCACCTTTATGTAGTGGCAGAACATTTCCATCTCCCCAAACGGTGTCGCCATCTTTCCTAAGTAATCCGTCATTCGTCTCCCAGTCTCTGGCAGCCACTAATTCAATTTCCCTGTATAGATTTGCCTGTTGTAGACATTTCATATCAAAGGACTCATATAATGTAGCCTTTTATGTCTGGCATGTTTCACTCAGCATCATGTTGTTGAGGTTCATGCACGCTGTAGCAGGTGTCAGTGCTTCATTCCTTTCCATGGCTATTTCCATTGAATGGGTGGACACCATCTGTTTTATCCATTCATCCACCAATGACATTTGGGTCGTTTTACTTCTTGGCTGTTGTGAGTATTCATGTATAAGGACTTGTTTGAACACCTGTGTTTTATTCATTTGAGTCTCTAGCTAGAAGTGTAATTTTGGGGTCATATGGGAATTCTGGGTTTAACTTTTTAAGGTCTTCCTCTTTTTGGAAAACACTTTCAAATGTGTATCCTTTGTAAACTCATCCTCTAGGGATGTAATTCAGTGCCAACCACAAGAAATGTTTCTCTTTCTTCTCAGCACGACACAAGCAGTCCTCTTATGGTCACTCCGCCTTCTGCAGAAGCCCATTGGGCTGTGAGGGTAAGTGAACATCATGATGTATGAAACATTTTACAAGATGATTAGGATGTGTATATCATATATTCTGTCTTAATGTGTGAATTGCCATAGAGTTTGGATGAAATACCTTTTCAAATGGGAATCTTTTAAAAAGGCTATGGCCCTTCACTGTAATTGGGAATTGGTTTTTTTTTTTTGAGACAGAGTCTCAAGCTGTCCCCCTGGGTAGAGTGCTTTGGCATCACAGCTCACAGCAGCCTCCAACTCCTGGGCTCAAGCGAGTCTCCTGCCTTGGCCTCCCAAGTAGGTGGGACCATAGGTGGCCACCACAATGCCTGGCTATTTTTTGGTTGCAGTTCATTGTTGTTTTGGCAGGCTGGGCTGGATTCGAACCTGCCACCTTAGGTGTTATGTGGCTGGCACCTTAGCCACTTAAGCCACAGGCACCAAGTTGATGTAATTGGAAATTGTTAACTGGGGAGACTAGCTAAGTTATAGGAGTTGTTTTTTGTTTTTTTTTTAAAGACAGAGTCTCACTTTATTGCCCTCAATAGAGTGCTGTGTCTTCACATTCACAGCAACCTATAACTCCTGGACTTAGGTGATTCTCTTGTCTCAGCCTCCACAAGTAGCTGGGACTATAGGCGCCTGCCACAAGGCCCGGCTATTTTTTTTTTTTTTTTTTTTTTTGGTTGCAGTTTGACCAGGGCCAGGTTCGAATCTGCCACCTTTGGAATATGGGGCCAGCGCCCTGCCCACTGAGCCATAGGTGCCACCCAAGTGTGTAAAAGCCTGCAGTTTAAGTCTTAACACTTTTAGGTCGCATTCTGTGGTTTTACTGTTTGTGGTGGTTCATCAGAATAGAAAGGAAATTATGATAACTTGCGAGCACCAAGACCCCCAAATGCGTTCCTTGCTTTCTCCCTTATTTCCAGCCACCTTGCTTGTTATTATTCTTTCTGATGCTCTGATTGCTGTGTGAAAAGCTTCTCTTTTTAGACAAAAGATGTTGTGGCTGGAAAGATGCACTATTTTTTCCAGAAAAGAAAAAAAAATGAGGGATATCGTCTTTTTTTTTTTTTTTCTGAGGCAGACTCTCACTTGTCGCCCTCAGTAGAGTGCCATGGCATCACAGCTCAGAACAACCTCAAACTCTTGGGCTTAAGTGATTATCTTGCCTCAGCCTCCGAAGTAGCTGGGACTACAGCGCCTGCCACAATGCCCAGCTATTTTTTGGTTGTAGTTGTTATTGTTGTTTGGCAGGCCCGGGCCGGGTTTCAACCTGCCAGCTCCTATGTATGTGGCTGGCACTCTAGCCGCTGAGCTACAGGCGCTGGGCTGAGGGATGTCTTCTGAAGAATATAGTATTTCTTACTCAGAAGGAAAAAAATCCTTTTATCATAAGGACACTTGCACAAGATTGTTTTATAGCTCAATTTATAATCGCCAAGATGTGGAAACAGCCTAAATGCCCACCAACCCAGGAATGGATTAACAAGTGTGGTATATGTACAGTATGGAATACTATTCAGCCATTAAAAAAATGGAGACTTAGGTGGTGTCTATGGCTCAAAGGGGCAGGGCTCCGGCTCCATATGCTGGAGGTGGCAGGTTCAAACACAGTCCTGGCCAAAAACTGAAAAAAAAAAAAAAATGAAGACTTTGCAGCCTTTGGCCTTTGTGTTAACCTGGATGGAAGTGGAACACGTTGTTCTTAGTAAAGCATCACAAGAATGGAGAAGCATGAATCCTATGTACTCAATTTTGATATGAGGACAATTGATGACAATTAAGGACACGGTGGGGGTGGGGGAAGGGGAGAGCAGAGAGAGAAAGAAGGAGGGAGGGGGGGGGGAAAGGAAGAGCAGAGAGAGGGAAGGAGGGAGGGGGTGGGGTCTTGATGTGTGCCACACCTTTTAGGGGCAAGACAGGATTGTAAAAGGGTCTTTACCTAACAAATGTAATCAGTGTAACCTGTTTTCTTGTATCCTCAATGAATCCCCAACAATTAAAAAAAAAAAGAATATAGTATTTCTCCTAAAGGAAGTAGTGTGGGTCTTGGAGGTGTTTCCCTTGATAATGTGAGGTCTCCTCACCCTCCCTTCTTTTTCAGAGAATTGTCGGTCATATTTCCTTATTTTTATTTGGTTTAAATTCTGATATTAATAACACTCTTGCTATACAAAGACAAACCCCCCTTCCAGCCCCGAGCGCTTTTGTCCTGTGTTTATATGGTTGGTTTGTTCCCTTCTTGGAAAGGTTGGTAGAGGGAGGAGTGTTGTTTGTGCTGGGACAGGGCATGGAAGAGGTTTCGTGTGGCCATGGAGTTGGGAGGTTGCCTCCCTTATCAAGCACTTTGCCAGTGATGATCACAGTATTGAAGGGTTTCTGGGTCATCTGGATGCATGATTCGGACTTTGAAAAAGAGCAGCTTTGTCAAGGAAAATGGCACTCGTGAGATCATTATTCCTTAAAGCAGTGGTTCTCACCCTGTGGGTCGCAACCCACAGGAACTGTATTAAAGGGTCACGGCATTAGGAAGGTTGAGAACCACTTAAAGTGTAACAGCTATCTTCTAATTTGGGCTTCACCTAGAAGAGCTAGGGTCAAGGGCCCTAAGAGGCCTTACAGAAGAGCCGAGAATGAGGGACCAGACACTGTGATTGGGCTGGACTGTGCTAAAGAGAGATTCTGCATTCCATTCACAGACACAGTGGAAACCTAGCCTGAACTGCTAAGTGTTTGTTCCCATTGTGAACACGCCTGGGCTTCCCAGAGCACTGAGTCAGCAAGCCTGATGGGTGGGGAGAGGATCTCCGGCAGACCTAGAACATTCAGCTTCTCAGCACTTAACAGCTCCAATGTGTGCAGTGTCTGCAGGAACTTACATTTCTGTTATTGAGGCACTTTGTTTTCTTTTTAAAAATTGTTAATGTTTTATAATGGCAGAATGCACATCATAAAAATTTTATCATCTTAACTATTTCTAAGCATATAGTTGAGTAATAAGTGCCTTCATGTTGTTTTACAACAATTGCTACCATCTGTTTCCAGACCTTTCACTGAACACTAAGTCCCCATCCGCCCGTCCCCAGCCCCTGGTACCTGCCATTGCACTTCCTATCTCTGCACATTTGCCTAGTTTAGAAACCTCATATAAGTGGACTCATACAGTATTTGTCTTTTTGTGTCTGGCATATTTCACTCAGCATAATGTCCTCAAGGGCCATGCCATGCGGTATGTGTCAGAACGTCGTTCCATTTTATGGCTGAATAATGTCTTGTTAACATGGATATGCCACATTTTGTTTATCCATTCATCTGTGGGTGGATACTTGTTAAGGGTGTTTCTTAGTGCTCCTGGTCGCTCCAACATGTAGTCAGGCTGGTGGTGAGAGGTCCGTTCTCTCTCAGTTCCACTAGCCATTCACCACAGGCTTTATTTCTGTCAGAGGGCAGACTGGAGGCCACTGCCCAGGCCTTCTTACTGATAGCCCCTTTTGCATGCTGCCTGCGTTTTATCTTTCAGAGTGGCAGGAGTTGATGCTCTGCCTTGTAATTCTTGCCCAGTTTCTTCCTTCTGTTTGTGAGGAGCTTTATTTATTATTAATTACTGTTAGAAACAGAAGACTTCCTATGTTTGAAGTTGGTTTCGATAATTATTTGGTGAAGCACTAACAACCTAACCTGTTCATACTTCCTTTTTTCTTTTTTTTTAGACAGAATCTTACTATGTCTCCCTCAGTAGAGTGCAGTGGTATTATAGCTCACAGCAAGATTCTCTTGCCTCTGCCTCTCAAGTAGCTGGGACTACAGGCTCCCGCCACAACACCCAGCTATTTTTAGTGATGAGGTCTCCCTCTTGCTCAGGCTGGTCTTGGACCAATGAGTTTAGGCAATCCACCCATGTCTGCCTCCCAGAGCGCTAGGGTTGCAGGCATGAGCCACTGTGCCCGGCCTCCTGTTCCCACTTTCATCTCTCTGGAACTACTGAGCTCTTTGGACCACTGAGGCCTCTGCCCTGTCAGGTGGCAGCAGGCCAGAGAGCAAGACCTAGACCTGGGGCCTCCTTTCTATGGATCTTGGCTTCTGGATCCGAGGTTGCCAGAGAGCTTTTTCCTTCAAGACGACAATCACTTCAGAAATCCAAGAGGTGGAGACTGTTTTAAGATCATCTTGTGCTTACAGCCACCGGTGGTGGTGGATCCACAGCTATGTTTTCACCTGGCTTTGGGTTAGAGCCTGATTTGAACACTCACACAAGGTATACTCTTTTACTCACTCAGACTTTTTCTTTCCAACTAGGTGGAAGAAAAGGCCAAATTTGATGGGATTTTTGAAAGCCTTTTACCCATCAGTGGTTTGCTCTCTGGAGACAAAGTCAAGCCAGTCCTCATGAACTCAAAGCTACCTCTTGATGTCCTGGGCAGGGTAAGTGGGCCGTAGGCATGGTTTTCTCACATTCTGCGCTGCTGCTGAGTTTGGTCAGCACTGTTCTCCCTCCCCATAGACACTTAACAAGGCTCTTGCTTTGTGCATACTGTTGGGGACCTCACAGGTGCTCATGTGGATTGAGCACTTGCTACAATCAGGGGGGCTCAGGGCTTCCCAGGGTTTGGTTCACAGGTGCTCCCCAGCCCATGGGAAAGGTGCTGGAATCTTTCCAGTTCACAGATGGGGAGGTTGTCTCAGAAATGAAAATGCGCCCAGGACCCAGGAACAAGCAGAACTTAGCCTGAGTCCCCTGGTCTAGGCGTGCCTATTTTCCATTGTGCTGAGTGTGGGAGTATGTGTCAATTTTTTTAATTTCTTTTCTATTTTTTTGAGTTAGGGTCTGGTTGTGTCACTCAGGTGAATGGAGTACAGTGTCTATTCATAGGTGCAGTCATAGCCCACTGTAACCTCAAACTGGGCTCAGGCAATCCTCCCACCTCAGCCTTTCACATAGTTGGGACTATAGGCATGTGCTACCTCATCTGGCTAATTTTTAATGTTCTTTTTTTTAAGAGATGAGGTCTCATTAGGTTGCCCTTGCTGGTCTTGGTCTCCTGGCCTCTAGTGATCCTCAGCCTCCCTAAGTGCTGAAATCTTTGATATGAACCACTGTGCTGCACTCTTTTCTATTGGTTTTTTTTTTTTAGACAGAGTCCTACTATGTTGCCCTTGGTAGAGTGCTATGGCATCACAGCTCACAGCAACCTCAAACTCTTGGGCTTAAGCAATTTTCTTGCCTCAGCCTCCCCAAGTAGCCTATAGTTCCAGGCACCTATCACAATGCCCGGCTATTTTTTGTTGTAGTTGTCGTTGTTTCAGCTGGTCTCGGCTGGGTTTGAATCTTCTAGTCTCAGTGTAAACCACTGTGCTATGGGTGCCAAGCCTCTATTGTTTTTTTGAGACAGAGTCTCACTTTGCCACCCTCAGTAGAGTGCCATGATATCACAGCACACAGCAACCTCAAACTCTGGGACTCAAGTGATTCTCTTGCCTCAGTCTCCCAAGTAGTTGGGACTACAGGTGCCTGCTACAATGCCTAGCTATTTTTTTTTTTGGCTGGGGCCAGGTTTGAACCTGCCATCTCTGGTATATGGGGCTGGCACCCTACTCCTTGAGCTACAGGCGCTGCCCACACCTAGCTATTTTTTAGAGACGGGGGTCTCGCTCTAGCTTAGGCCAGTCTGAAACCCGTGAGCTCAGGCAGTCCACCCACTTTGGCCTCCCCAGAGTGCTATGGTTACAGGTGTAAGCCACTGTGCCTAACATTTCTGTTGTTAATTACTTTTTTTCTTCCCATAAAGCTCAAGGTAAAGGTACTTTCAACTCTGCTGCAAGCCTAAAAAACGTTTTGTGTATACCCTTTTTTTAAAAAAGGACTCAATCACTTTTATTTCTATTAAGTATAAAAATATAAGTGCATTTGTTCCTTGATATACTTGAGGGATTGGTTCTAGGAACCCCCCCCCCATACCACATATACTGAAATCCATTCATACTCAAGTCTTACAGTCAGCCCTACACATATGAAAAGTTGGCCCTCTGTATCCTTGGGTTTTGTATCCCTTAAATACTGTATTTTTGATCTTTGGTTGAAAAAAATCCAAGTATAAGTTGACCCTCACAGTTTAAACCAGCATTGTTCAAAAGTCAACTTTATATTTTTATATATACATTTTGAGACAGAATCGCCCTCTGTTGCTCCAGGTTAGAGTGCCATGGTGTCACTGTAGCTCACAGCAACCTTAAATTCCTAGTCTTTCTGCCTCAGCCTCCTGAATAGCTGAGACTATAGATGCCCACCACAACACCTGTCTACTTTTTCTATTTTTATTAGAGATATTGTCTCACTCTTGCTCAGGCTGGTCTTCAACTCTTGAGCTCAAGGGATCTACCTGCCTTAGCCTCCAGAGTGCTAGGATTATCGGCGTGAGCCACCACACCTGGCCTTCATTTTATATTTTATTTTTTTTTAGATGGGTAGTGGTTGTACATATTTATGGGGTATATGTGATATTTTGAGATGTGCACGTGAATGTAACAATCAGAGTAATTGCAATATCACCTCAAATATTTATCATTTCTTTGTGTTGAGAACATTCCAAATCTTTCCTTCTAGCTGTTTTGAAAGATTTAATAACTTATTGTTAACTGTATTTACCCTGTTGTGCTATCAAACACTAGATCTATTCCTTCTACTTTTTTCTTTTGTACCCCTGCCTTTAAAAGGAACTTATTCCTTCTGACTGTAAACATAAGTATTTGAGATACAGCTTTGTACTCCAGCCTGTTTCCACTCTTAATGAGGTCTGACTTGTGGCCCTGTGGGTTTGCTTTGTGCACAAAGCCTCGTTCCACATAGCTGTATGTGTGCTTCCTTGTCTAGACTTACAGAGGATGGGTGATATCTGTCTGGAGAGGATCACTTTGTTAGAGCAGGTGGAGGTTCAGGCCCAGAGTGGGAGGTCCATGTGTCATTCCTGCCATCCCCAGCCCTAGGTGTGCTACTGACCTTTGGCACATATTCAGGCCTACTCTGACTCACCTAATACTGTTCATGTTGAATATCATCTTCAAATCTATAAGGCATATTTACAGACAATGACCCAGTTTGGGTGTGGTTGGCTGAGCCCATCTTGATGCTTTAATTTGAAATGGGGTGGCTGTGACAGAGGATTGCTCAAATTCATTCCATCCTCAAGTCAGCTGTGGCCTGGTGTCTATCACCAATGGGCTTTATAGGGTGTGAGCTCTTACTGCAGCAGGATGTGGTGGCCCTTTTGTGTGCAGTGTGTGTGTTTATTTGGCAGTCCTTACAGAATACCTGGCAGTTGGATATAAGACTGTTGTAGAGCAAAATCATGAACAAAGCAGAGGCCCATGTACTATTTAGCCATTAAAAAAGATGGTGACTTTATATCTTTTACATTTACCTGGATGGAGTTGAAATATGTTCTTCTTTGTAAAGTATCACAAGAATGGAAAGATAAATGTCCAGTGTATTCCATACTGATATGAAATCAGTATATAAATAATTACATGCTCATAAGAACAATAAAACACTAATCTAGTTCAGGGGTAGAGGGAAAGGGGGGGGAGGGAGGACGATTGGCAGAAAGGGAGGGCAAGAGGCAGGATCTCACCTAAAGTGCACATTGTGAGGGTGTATAACAAGCCCCCTAGATGAGAGGTTCTTTTGCAAATGGAACTTTACCTTGGAAGTAAGAACAATATAACCTAAAAATTTGTACCCTCATATTAATTTGGAAAAAATAAAAATAAAAAAACAAAAGCAGAAAAACAAAGCAGAGACCTACAGTGGTGGACCATGCTTTAGTAGAAGGGGAGCCGTGACTAGTAAGGGATGTTCTGCCAACCTTCTACCCTGGCTCCAGGTCTTGTGGTAGCGGGGTCACTTCTCATCTGCCCCTCCATTCATGCATGTATCTGTACATACATGCATCTTTGCAGCTGTCCTCCTATGTGTTCATTCATCCATGCACCCATGCCCCCTGTAGTCATTTATCTGTGCATCTAGGCTCCCACACAGTACTCATGTCTTAAGTCCTTCAGCAAGCATTTTTCAGAGCCAGTGCTGGACTAGGTCTTGTGCTGAACACTGGAAAGATGGGGATAAAATTAGATATGGTCAAGGAGGTCAAATAAGTAAGTAATGGCTAAGATGCTAATAATACTCATTAACCCAGGGCTTAGTATGTACAGGCCCAGCTCTCTTACTCTGCACAAATAAACATTTCCAGTACTTACAGTCACCCAATTATAGATAGTGTCATCCCCATTTTCCACATGGGGAAATAGAGCCTTAAGTGTTGTAGGGAAGTTGCCCTGGGCTGCCCAGCAATTAAAGGGCAGAGAAGAGGTGCGGTCCTATTGTCAACAGAGTAAGACAGGGTCAGACGTATATTTTTATCTTTTTATAATTTTGGAGACAGAGTCTCTCTATGTTGCCCTTGGTAGAGAGCCGTGGTGTCACAGCTTACAGCAACCTCACACTCTTGGGCTTAAGCGATTCTCTTGCCTCAGCCTCCCGAGTAGCTGGGACTACTGGTGCCCACCACAACGCCCAGCTATTTTTTTCTTGCAGTTATCAATATTGTTGAGCTGGTCCAGGCAGCCTCAGTGCATGTGGCTGGCACCGTAATCACTGTGCTACAGGCACCAAGCCCAGATGTATATTTTGAAATGGTTGTCCCCAGACCCTGCCCTCTTCACTCTCTATACCCACCCTACCCCCAGCCTCCCTGGGAATCATGGCTTGACCCAGAGGGGAGGGCTTTTGACCCACCTACGCAGGAGACATAGGGCAGGGAGGGAAGGCTTCCTCGCAGAGGTGCCCTTGGTCATACCCTTCAGGGTGGGGGGCACTCAGGCAGAAGTTTGGGGCTATGAAGGCTTGAGTAAAGGCACAGAAGCCAGAGACAGCCTGGCAAGCTGATTAGGGCTGCAGTTCCCCATGGCATTTCTGCCCCCTAGGGGATTTTGGATGATGACTAGGGACATTTTTTATTGTCACACCTAGGTTGAATGCTTCTGGCTTCTAGTGGCCAAGGCCAGGGATGCTGCTCAGCATCCTGTGGTACCCAGGACACCAACACCCCCAGGGTCAGTAATGCTATGATGGGGAGGCCCTGGGCTGGGGGAAGACTGCAGCCAGAACGGCCTGTTAGAATCCTCAGCCTGTTGGAATCACAGCCAGGCTGGGGGACATTGTGGGGCAGGGACAGGTGTGCATTACACAGGGTTAAGACTCAATGCAGGGGACCGGCTGAAGGCATGGGGGGACTGCATGGAGCAGATGAGGCCTAAGCCACATGCACAGCAGTGGAAGTGGACAGGAGGACCCCAGTGAGAAACCTCCACGGACCCAAGTTGTAGTGAGTGACTGGAGGGGCAGTGCTGACATGTGAAGCATCTGAAGGGATAACCAGTGTTGCCCCAGTCAGACTGGTTTGCAGTCCAAGAAGGCTGAGTTGGGCTGAGAAGTTAGCACCTTGCTTGTAGCCTCTGACACAGCCCAGAACCCAAACCTGTCCACTTCATTTGCTGGGTAATGAGTGGCTTGGCATGTTCCCTGTCACCCATCTCTCCATCTGCCACCAGGGAGAGATACACAGCCCTGCCCAGCCCTGAATGCTGGGTGGGAGCTAGCTTTTCAAGAGTGAGTGTGCGGGACTTGTGTTCAAGGCAGCAACAGTGCCCAAGTCAAACCTGTCTTTTAAGACATAAAAGGCTGGTTCAGTGTATAGCTCTGGACATCAGGGAGTTGACATCACTTCAGAGAACCCACAGTCTGGTTGTAAAACATATTTTGATTGCTTTGTCCTGATCCCAATGAGCACTAGGGAGTTAGTATCCAAGTTCTGGCGGGAGTTGCTGTCACATGAGCTGTTTCTACCCTAATAACCCAAGTTTGTCTTCCCCTTCCAGGTCTGGGATCTCAGTGACATCGACAAGGATGGACACCTGGACCGAGATGAGTTCGCTGTGGTAGGCCCCACTGGGTCCCTCCCACACCCCACTGAGGAAGGCAGTGTGCAGCTCACATGGGGCTTTCTAGATTCACTTGTTTTTCTTTAATTTTTTTTTTGTAAAAAAGTATTGATTTTGACATAATTCCAAATAAATAGAAAAGTTGTGATAAAGGTCAAGTATCCCCAGTCTGAGTATTCAACATCCAAAATGCTCCAAAATGTGAAACTTTTTGAGCAGTGACGCGATATTCATCCCACTAGAAGTACTCATTGGAGAATTTCAGATTTCAGATTAGGGATGCTGGGCCTGTAAGTGTAATGCATATATTCGAAAATTTGAAAAGATTGAAAATCTGAAACACTTGCCCCAAGCATTTCAGATAAAGGCTATAGCCTGTAATGCAGAGAATTCTTTCAGATACCTTTCACCTGAATTCCATAGTCTTACTATTTATTGCATCTGCCTTCTTTTTCCCTCCCTTTCTTTCTGTCTTTCTGTCTCTCACAGATTTTTCATTTGAACTATTTTGGAGTCAAGTTGCAGACATGATGAGAGGTCTTCATCCCAAAATACTTAAGTGTGTATTTATTATTATTTCTTTCTTTCTTTTTTCTTTTTTTAGAGACAGAGTCTCACTTTATTGCCCTTGGTAGAGTGCCGTGGTGTCACAGCTCACAGCAACCTCCAACTCCTGGGCTTAGGCGATTCTCCTCAGCCTCCTGAGTAGCTGAGACTACAGGCACCCGCCACAACGCCCGGCTATTTTTTTGTGGCAGTTTGGCTGGGGCCGGGTTTGAACCCACCACCCTGGGTATATGGGGCTGGCACCTTACTCACTGAGCCACAAGAGCTGCTCAGTGTGTATTTCTTAAAAACAAGAACTTCCCTCAGGTAACCATTGTCCAATCCAGAATCAGGAAACGAGAATGATGTCAGCTCATTTATGACATTTTTGTTATATCCTTATATCTCACTTTCTATTTTAGTATATATCTGATTGTATCACTTATCATGTAATCTGAGGATATTATTTAGTTCATACCAGTTGTCCCCAAACATCCCTGTGGCAAAAGATTACCTTCCGTTGTCCTGTGTCTTTCACTTCCATTAACCTGGAGCAGCTCCCCTGGCTGCCTTCATGGCATGAGTGTCTTTTTTTTTTTTTAAGACAAAGTCTCACTCTGTCGCCCTGGGTAGAGTGCCCTAGCATCATAGTTCACAGCAACATCAAACTCTTGGGTTCAAGTGATCTCTTGCCTCAGCCTCCTGAGTAGCTGAGACTACAGGTGCCTGCCCTAATGTCTGGCTATTTTTTTTCTATTTTTAGTAGAGATGGGATCTTGCTCTTGCTCAGCCTGTTCTTGAATTCTTGAGCTCAAGAGATCCCCCTGCCTTGGCCTCCCAGAGTGCTAGGATTACAGGCATGCCCTGAGCCTGGCTGGTGTGGGTCACCTTGAAGCGCACAGGCCAGCAGGTGTGGAGTGTCCCTGGATGTGGGGTTAGCTGCTGCTTCCTCATAATGACCCAGGTCATGCACTTTCATGGGGCAGCAATCCCATGGAGGCCAGGCTTGTCCTCGAGAGGCCTCTCTCCTGGGGGATGTGATGTCAACATGTGTCATCCTGCCATGATGACCCCTCATTGCTAGGTCAAGGTGGAGGTTGCTGGGTTTCTTCTCCCTACAGTTATTCTTTTCCCCCTCTGTGTTCAGCCCATCTCTTGTTGGGGACATCTTGAGAATGTAAACATTCTCTCAGACTGTCACCCGTGAGTTCTAGTATCTGCTGATGAGTCTGAGTTCATTAGATGATAGCGGCTGTCAAACAGTGATATTCTATTCTCTTATATTCTATTCTAATTCAATTCTCACACACTTATAGTAGTTGGCCTTCCACAGTAAGGAATGTATTTATATCAGTGTGGCTTCATGGCTGTGTTCCCAGTTCCACTGTTTATAATCCTTCCTGACATGGTTTAGTTTGATCTGTGAGTGCTCCTCCTGGCTCAGCTCGTCCCTTTGGTCCCCATCTGAGCACGTGCTTACTCCTGAGCACTTGTTTACATTTGCCACATCAAGATGCTCCTGGGTGCCCCTGTGCATTTCCCATCCTGGTCCTGCCTTTATCTGTCTCCGTAGACTTCTGTTAGTGTGCAGAGGAACTAGAAACCAGGCTCTGGGCGCTGGGTGTGTCCCTAGCTACTGGGGCACCACTATTTGTAGGCCTGCTCAGAGAGAGAGCTGGGCAGTCAGTGTGCAGAGGGCCACAGTCCACAGCCCCCCTAGCCATGGGCATCTGCCCCTTTCAAGTTCCAAGCATCCTTGTCCTCTTTTTCCAGGGCAGCAGGGGATCTGTGTGTAGAGCAGGGTACCCCCTAGCCTGTGGGTACCTTCAGCACCCTTGCAGCTGGGTATACTGGGCTGGCTTCCTCTGGGCCTCCCCTCCTCCTGTTGGGCTCAAGTTACCACGCTTGTCTTAGTGTCCTCCTGCTACCACAGCAGAACACCCAAGACTAGGTAGTTTATAAACAACAGAAATTTATTGCTCACAGTTCTGGAGGCTGGGAATTCCAAGATTGAGGCACCACCAGATATGGTATCTGGTGGAAGGCCTGATCTCTGTTTCTAGGATGGCACTTCTTGCTGCCTCCCATTAAACGGCAGAAAGGGAGTAACAAACTCCCTCAAGCTCTTTTATAAGGCGCTAGTCCCATCCATGAGGGTTGAGCCTAATCACCTCCTACAGGTCTTACCTCTCAGTACTGCTGCCTATGCTTCAGCGAGAATTTTGGAGGGGCACAGACATTCAACTGTAGCAGAAGCTCTCTGCCTCCTCCTTCTTCTCCTTTCCTTCTGCCTCCTTCCCTCCCATCTTGGCCTTTCTTTGCCAGTAGTAGAATTTATTCACTCAGTTCATTCTGTTAAATCTTGAAGTAGAATAAAGTAGCCCTTTGATACTTTAATAAGTAGTAATTGAGTTCAGTCTAACCGGAAAACAAATGTCTGACCAACTTGTGTGTGAATTATCTGGGAATTTCTAAGTAGTAGAAAAATGATAAAATATACACAAGATGCATCTTCTGTCCTAGGGATTTTTTTTTTTTGAGACGGAGCCTCAAGCTATCCCCCTGGGTAAGTGCCATGGCATCACGCTCACAGCAACCTCCAACTCCTGGGCTCAAGCGAGTCTCCTGCCTCAGCCTCCCAAGTAGCTGGGACTACAGGCGCCCGCCACAACGCCTGGCCATTTTTTGGTTGTAGCCATCATTGTTGTTTGGCGGGCCCGGGCTGGGGATTCGAACCCGCCACCTTAGGTGTATGTGGCTGGCGACTCAGCCGCTTGAGCCATAGGCGCCGAGCCTGTCCTAGGGATTTTAAAATGGCATTTAGAATATACACATGAGTTGGTGCTTATGGTTACCTTACTTTATTTTATATGTGTGTAAAACCTTTGACATTTGAAGTATCTGGGTTAAATTTGAGCCATTGTCCAAGAAAATGATGAGTTTCTCTTACATGTCCCCTCCTAGTCCCGCACACCCAAAGCGCTCAGTTGTGTTTCTTTCCCATTCAGATCAGCAGGTTTTGCCCTTCCACTTTGAGCATTTTCTGGATTGTCCATTATTGACCTATTATTTGGTGGTAAAATATATGTAACACTCAACCATCATAACCACTTTATAGCTCAGTGGCATTAAGGACTCACCATATGCAGTCACCCCACCATCCATCCCTAGAAATTTCTTATCTTCCTCACCTGAAACTCTACCCCCATTAAACACTAACTCCCCATCCTTTCCTCTCCCAGCCCCTCATTGTATGTTTCTTATATTTCTTCTGATCACACTTGACTGAGAGGCTCTTGGGGAGGGACTCCCAGGAGTAGGGTGACTGGCCCAGTATGTACTCAGGAGGCTAGGGACCTGCCTCACCCTGTGTTTCCATTGTTTTGATCATTTCTCATCATTTCACTCAAGATATGTGTCAATCTGTAAATGTGTCTTAGCATTATGTCATTTTGCATTTCTTTTTATCACTAATTGGATTTAACATTGTATAGTTTTCAAGTGGCCATAAATTTTACCTACATTATTGATCTGTTCTATATGCAGATAGCAACTTAAAGGCTCTTTTGAAGGAAAGAGGGTTGTGGTTTTAGTTTTTGTTAGATTTTAAAATTGACTTTTAAGACCTTGTTTTAGACAAAGTTTGTTTTTGCCATCAGCCTGGGACAGGGAGCCTCCCGTCCTTCACACAGCATACCATTTGGTGTCATTTTCTGCATCTCTAGAGTATCCATTTGATTAGATTAGAGATGGGGGTCTTGCTGTATTGCCCGGACTGGGGAGTACCTAAAGATCTTGAAGCACAGGCAGCTCTTGTGGTGTCTCTAGACTTCTAAACGGAAATCGTCAGCCTTGGAGCTGGTGGTCCTCCTGACACATGTGAAGTCTGGCTTGATTGAATTTTTTTTGTCCTCATTTTAGTCTCAAATAATAATTAAACAAATGTCTTAGAAAGTTGTACATTGGAAGATAATTCATCAGAAAAAATTTGCTTTTACTCTGGTCACTTGGCATCCTCTCAAAGAGTGTTTGTAGTGTCACTGCAGCCCCCTCAAAGGGCTGCTTGGCCTCACCTCCTCAATGCTATCCATTCTCTCTCTCTCTTTTTTTAAAATTTATTAATAGTTTATTTATCACTCATATTCATAGCTCAGGAACACAGGTCAGTGACAAATGTCTATGTAAATCAGCCCAAAGAAATTCTTTGTATTTCAAAATTATTTGACGCTCTGAAAGACACCAGCCTTCCTCATCTCCTCAAAATCTTTCATAGAATCATAATTTCTGTAGAAATCTGCATATGCCTTCTTTCTTGGTTCAGCCACAGCAAACTTATAGAAAACTGCAACCCCCAGGGTTACAACAAATGCTCCAACAATATGAATCCGCAGGCGCCTGGCCAAGAGGCCACGCATCTGAGGTTTGGCCAAAGCACTGGAAGCCATAGTAGTTACTGTCCTTGATGGGTTACCAACCTCAACGTGTCCTTCCCGGCTGAGGTACACGCAACTGCCAATGCTATCCATTCTCCTTTGCACTTATAGGCCATGCACTTGGTGTACCGAGCCCTTGAGAAAGAACCTGTGCCCTCCGTCCTGCCTCCATCCCTCATCCCACCCTCAAAGAGAAAGAAGACTGTGTTCCCTGGTGCCGTCCCCGTCCTGCCTGCCAGCCCTCCACCGAAAGACAGTCTCCGCTCCACACCGTCTCACGGAAGCGTCAGCAGCCTCAATAGCACTGGCAGCTTGTCCCCCAAGCACAGCATCAAACAAGTACAGGTATGTGGCTCTCAGTGCCTATGGCCAGTTCTCACAGTGCAGCACTGTGTTTCTTGGGATTTCTTAACATGTGACCGAAAAAAGGTCAATTTGTGATTAAATGTCTTTTACAAATGTTTATTGCAGAGATTCAGAGTGAACTTTATTATGATTTATTATTCACTTGCACATAAATGGCACCCTGCTTGCTCCCTCCTCAGGGCTCTGCACCAGCCACGGGCCTCTAGGTGGTTCTGGCCTAGCCTGTTACATGGTTAGTTATGTATCATCCATCTCCACATGCCTCACTTCTTGTTAGCTTCATGAGAGTAGAGTTAGTTCTTGGTTATTTTCTTAGCATCTAGAGTAATCTCTGGTACTTAGGAGATGCTCAGTAACTACATGTGTTTGTTGAATGATCAGCTGAGTGAGGAAAGCATCCATCCCCTGTTAGGAGGACACATGATAGCTCTATTCCTCCCACGACCACATCTCATGCATTAGAAAAGATCTTTCTTGTTTTGGCCAATGCAGCATCATACTGGGCTCCTTTGAAAAGGAGTTTTTAAGAGTGTCTAAAACACATGAGAAAGTGACTGAGAGTCACATCTGGAGTCATACTTTGTGTCCTGCCTCATTTGTATTTTCAAAGGCAAAGCAGTAAGTGGTAATGACAAGAAGGCCACTGTCAACACACAGCTTCAGCCAGACTATGGGTAATAAAAATGAAAATGAAAAAGGCATAATCACACAGTGTTTTCTTTTGCACATGATGTATTTATAAAGTTAAGTATTTGACTCCAGGGGGCTTATTTCCAGAGAGCTCGTAGAACACAGCATCATACCCTAGAGTTTAAAAGAGACGATCTGAGGGGGTTCTGAGAGGGGGCTCACTTCTGGGGCTGATGCAGTTCCTGTTACTGCCACAGCCAAGGGAGAGGCAGGGCCAGGTGTTAACCTCCACTCAGGGAGTTTCACATGAGTGGCTGTTAAAAAGTCCTGCATCCAGATGGCCCAGCTCTGGCATTGTCAGTCCTCCAGCTGCCGTGCCCTAGGGAGACAGGTGATAAGCAGACCTAAGAGTAAACTAAGGGAAGGCAGATGGTCAAGAGCAAGCAGAACAGAGCCCAGCCCGGAAACGCCAAGGGGTGAGTAGGGGTTGTGCTCCTGCAGGTGGGCCAACAGGAAGGCCGCTGACAGGTGACACGTGAGCCGGAGCCTGAGTGACAAGAAACCATCTGGGGACCAGCTCTCATGAAATCTGACATGGGAGCCCTCTGTGTGTTCTAGAAACAGGAAGAAGGGCAGGGCAGTGTGAGCCGGGGGCTGGTGGGGTAGAGTCAGAGAGGGGGCCAAGGCTGGGTCACTTAGCACCTGCTTGAGATGACCTAGTACCATATATTCTCAGAGCTCTTTCCAGAAATTCTTACTCATCACCAAAAGTTGGTAACGTTAGCATGTGTTTTATTGTTAGGGAAGCAAGTAGGGCTGAAATTACTGGCAGGTGCAGGTCACGCAGCCTCATCTCCTGCCTCCCTGCTGATGCTGTGGTCTCTGCAGATCCTGAGAATATACCGGTAACCCTCTAACTAGACTTTACCAGTGGCCTTTGTTGGGGTAGGGTAGGAAAGTGCAGCTCCTCCACCAAAGACAGTGCAGCTATGGGATCAGTCATGAAAATGGACATTTTAGGGGGCCTGTAGCAGACATGTTCCCCTTTCCCCCACTTTTCTTACCTCTAGACTAGCAGTGCTGTCTGGGCCTACCAAAGGCCGCCCAGTTCTGCCCTCATGCTGGTTGGAGTAAAGCGGCATCTCTCCACCAGGGCCTGTTCTCCCTCACTTGGGGCCTGCAGCTGCTGAGTCACCCTGAAATCCCAGCCCTGTTGGGAGATCTGTCTCCCAGATAGAAGCAGAAGGTGGTCCCATGTTGGATTTATAGCCACGTTGGTATCAGAGTCTTGCTGCTGCAGACATACCCTGAAGGCTCAGAAACAAGGCAGTGAGTTCATTTTGTTTGCCAAGCAAATGTTAGGACCCTGACCCTTGTCATCCCAGAGTCATAATTTCTTGGGACCTGTGGAACACAGAAACCCTTCTCCCCACTTATCTCAGCTTGTCCAGCTCCTTCTTAACTCTGCAGTAGGGTCTCATTATGTCACCCTCGGTAGACTGCTGTGGCGTCACACAGCTCACAGTAACTTCAAACTCTTGGGCTTAAGCAATTCTCTTGCCTCAGCTTCCCAAGTAGCTGGGACTACAGGCACCCACCATAACACCCTGCTGTCTTTTTGTTGCAGTGGTCATTATAGTTTAGCAGGCCCTGGTCGGGTTTGAACTTGGCAGCCTTGGTGCGTGTGGCTGGTGCCATAACCACTGTTCTACCGGTGCTGAGCCTTCTTAGTGTTTATTCATATGCTTCTTTCTGTCCACCCTGGCCTGAGGCAGCTTACAGAATTCACACAATAAAATGCCACAAGTAAAACTCAGGTCTCTCTTGCCGTCGGAACTCTCACTATTTGAATTAGGTACCCAGATTTTGATAAATTTTTTGATATCATACTTGTACTAAATTACTCTGTTCACTACTCCAAACCCCATAACTAAAACCATCTGGGTAGCATGGTATCCCTTGCCTCTCAGACTTGCTTTCTGAATTCCCTGTGCTCACATCAGGATCCTGTTGGATTTGGATAAAGAAGGAGGCTTGTTTATAGAAAGCAGATGAGTTAACCCATTGTTGCCCACTCTCAACATCTTTGAGAATCCTTTCTTAACCAGAGGAATGACTCTTAAGTGGAAACTCAGACATCATGGCAGTTCTTTGAAGGTAGGGCATGGTGTGGGCTTTTGTGATTGGTTGCTATGCTGTAGAGCAGTGTTTTTCAAATTTTTTTTTATCTCACTGTACATTTGAGCCTATAGATAAACTTCTGTGGCACACTTAAATTATGTTGATCAAAAAAAGAGTAAAAAAAGAAAGAATATATTTATTGTGTTTTGAACTTCTTTAAAAAATAATTCGATTAATGAACTTTAAAAATTTTCACAGCACACTGGTTAAAAATCACTGCCATAGAGGGAAATCCCTCCGGTCCATGTTCCCACCAGCCTTTCTCTCCCAACTCCCTTATCATCTAGATCAGCTCAAGTAGATCTTTTTTTGTTTATTTTTATTTTGGGTGTTTTTTTTTTGTTTTTTGGTTTTTTTTTTTTTTTTTTTTTTTTGAGACAGAGTCTTGTTCTGTAGCCCAGGTTGGAGTGCAGTGATATTATCATGGTTCACTGTAACCTCAAAGGATCCTCCTGCTTTAGCCTCCTGAATAGCTGGGACTATGGGTGGGAGCCACTGCTTGTGACTTTAATTAGGTTTTTATTCTTGTTGCTGTTGTTACAAGAGAGACTTCGATGCATATAAATATTAAACAAAAAAATGAGTTGAGGAAAAGTGTTTCTGGGATCCAGAACAGAGACGCCATGATGTTGACTTGTACATGTCAAAAGACCCGAGAAAACACAGCCAGAGTCAGCCACAGAAGAGGCCTATCACCCGGGTGCCTGAGGGTCTTTGATGCCTCTGAACCAGGGAGTCATGGGGCCCTGGTTGACCTGCTGGGGCATTTGCCTCTCTAAAGGAAACTGAGAGTAGGCGGTGAGAGTGTCCACATGTGCAGCGCATGGCCTAGCCCCGAGACTGTGAGGTTTATGCTGCCCTGGGCTCTTGGCTCTGTCTGCCAGTGCAGTCCTCCGGTGGGAGGGATGGTCCTCTTGAGTGCCGGGGTCTTACTTGTTTCCTGTCAGTGACTTGTGTGTGTGTGTGTATATCTTTGTTGTCTTGGGGTGGGGTTAGGGATAGGGAAGGATGATCTGTAGAGTTTTGGAACTCTGGGCACCAAGCGTACCATGGTAGCCTACAGAGAAGCTTTTATAGGCAGAGGAGCCATAAGACTAGGGAGGTTGGCGTGTGGTGGGGCTGGCTTTCAGGAGATAGTCCTTCTGCAGTGGGTGCTTGGAGGGTCTTTCCTGGCATGCTTAGGGTCCCCTTCTAGAAGATCTCTGGCCTCTCTTTCTACCTCAGTGGCGGAATGAAGGGCTATTGGTGGATGGACCTGTCAGAAGGTCCTCCTGGAAAGAGGTGAAGACTAGCTGTTGGGAGAGCTCAACTGAGCCTGTATCAACCTCTCTCAGCCTCAGTTTCCTCAACTGTAAACTAGGGGAAGCCATCTATAGTCTTGGCATGTGGAATTGTCAGGAGTTTGGTGCCAAATGTGTGGGGAAACACTTTAATTATAATGCCATCAAAAAGTGTGCATTTTTAGGTGATAAATAGCTTCCAGATTAACTGTTTTCAAAAAAACTGTTTTAGCCAGCAGTGAACTGGGTGGTGCCGGTGGCAGACAAGATGCGATTTGATGAGATATTCCTGAAGACTGACCTGGACCTGGATGGCTACGTGAGTGGTCAGGAGGTGAAGGAGATCTTCATGCACTCAGGCCTCACTCAGAACCTTCTAGCACACATATGGTGAGGACAGGCGGGCAGAAGCTGTGACTATGGGTGGCTTCAGGGGGCCTGTGGGACAGAGGATGCATGGTGGGTGGTGGTCAGGGTCCGTCCTCAGCCTTCAGTGGGCGGCATTTATCCTCTCTGGGCTGACAGGTTGAGCAGGGTGCAAGTATAAAGACTCAAACCTTATCTTGTGCAGGTTGGTTCACTGTCTTACAGCAAGAGGGACACATCTTTGGCCTTCTTGAGGACTCTCAGGCTATCTTCTTGAACAGCTGGGCCCAGTTCTTGCTGGTGGTGATGCTGGTTCTAGCAGGAGGCCTTGAAGGCTCCAACAGAGCACCTGAGCAGTCTGGGCTGTGGCTGTCTCCCCTATGGGTCCCTCCTCTGTGAAGACCAACTCCTTGGCTTTGATGAGGGAGTAAACAGTGGGGACACCGTGGTCTTGTACCTCAGGACCCAGTCAGGGAGGCCCCTCACCCCTCCTTCCCTCCGCGGCCAGACAGTGCACTGTGCAAGGACGTGGATGCTCTGTAACTGGCCAGTGGTGAAGTCAGCTTTGTTCCACAGTGCCCTGGGTCATTAGAGAGGGCTTCACTTGGGAGCTATGAAAAGGAGAGAATTTCCATATAATTCTCAAGAAGCAAATTCCTTCAAGTAGAACAGTGAAATTCAGCATGTTACTTAGCACCTTTGGGGGAAATAACTGTCCATAGTAATAATTCACAGATGTTGTCCACACTGTGAGATTCTGCAGTATGTGGTGACAGCCCAGGCTTGAGAAACCAGCCATCCCAGAGTCACCACCCACACGACTGAGCCATGTTGCTTCCAATTGGCCAGGGACAGTGGTTCTCAACCACTTTGGGTCTAGTGCTCCCTTTCAGTGGTCCGTTTATGGAATGGAATCATGCAAAGAGTTTGACTGCATGTGCAAGTGCCATGATGCCTTGAATGAAGTGTAAGGAAATAATACAGGGAAAGTAACTACAATGTATATTTCAGTCTGTACATGATGTAATGATATGTAAATGATACGATGAAATCACAGGTCTACCTGAATCAAAAGAGGAAACACAGAAGCCATTCCATGCAGAGAGCAAATGGGAAGGAAAGGGTGAATGAGCTCTAGAATAAATAACCACTAGGAAAGTTATAACAGCAGTCTAGATTTGTCTGTAGGTGGCAAGGAGCAGGGCATAGTGTGAGTGGATAGTGCCATAAGAGGGAACACAGGGCAAACCCGAGGACAGAGGCTTTGCCCTCATGATGGCTGGCACCTTACCAGTTGTTCCGGTGTCAAACATGATGAACACTAACAGAGCAGCAGTCCTTCCTCTCTCTTGGAAACCCTTGGCATGCAAGCTGCAAAGCCCAGGCTCCTTGAGAGATGGCAGGAACAGAGAAGGGGCCAGAGAGGAGGGGCAGCATCAGTCCAAGAGCAGGCTGTAGGCCTCCTGTAGCCTGACCTGGAGAAAGATAGTGGCAATGTGAAGTTGTCATGCTCCCAGCTTCTAACTAGAGCAGTAGCATAGGCATTGTGAAAACAGAGGCCTTGCCCCCATAATGGCTGGCACTGGGTGCAGTGTCTCACATATGTAATCCCAGTACTTTGGGAGAACAAGGTGGGAGGATCGCTTGAGGCCAGTTCAAGACCAGCCTGGGCAACATAGCAAGACCCCATCTCTACAAAAAATAAAAAAAATTAGCCAAGTGTGGTGGTGCACACCTATAGTCCTAGGTACTCAGGAGGCTGAGATGGGAGGATCTCTGAGCCCAGGAGTTGAAGATTACAGTGAGCTCTGTGGTCACTCCACTGCTCCAGCTTGGGCAGAAAGCAAGACAGAAGAAGCAATTTCCTTCAAGTAGAGCAGTGAAATTCTCAACTCCCCCCCCCCCCAATATCTTTATCAGTGACATTCTGAGTGATCTGGTCTTTTTCCATGTCTGTTCATAGCCTGCTTTGGGGCCCATTAACTCTGGGTCTCCTGGCTCTCCTTTGCTAGAAAGGAGAAAACCATATCATGACTTCTGTGGTAACTGCATGTGAGGTAGGAAGTGAGATTCTGTGTTGAGAGGGAGACATGGGTAAAGGAAGCATTTTTCACACATGTGGAGGCTGCTTTCTTTGCTTTGTGGCTGGCTCCTCACCTTGAGGGTCGTGGAACTTCTCACACAAGGTCTGAGCGACCACTGTGTGCTGCTGTTCACATCAGAGAGCCGGAGAGGCAGGGGACGCCTAGCTGTGGGGAGCATATGTAATGTGGCCCATACCCCTGTAGCAATCCCTTTTGAGCGCAAGAAGGTTGCTTTGTTCCATTTGGGTTGTTGTGACAAACTACCATAGACAGGGTGGCTTAAGCAACAGATGTTTCTCATAGTTCTGGAGGTTGGACGTGTAAGATCGAGATACTGGCAGATTGGTATCTGGTATGCTTCCTGGTTTGCAGACAGCTGCCTTCCTGCATGTCCTCACATTGCACAAAGAGCAGAGAAAGCTCTCCAGGACCACTTTTATAAGGGCACTGATCACATTCACAGGGGCACTGCCGTCATGACCTGATCACCCCACAAAGTCCCTGTCTTCTAAAATCATCCTATTGAGGGTGAAGATTTAAACATGGGGATCTGAGGCATACAAACTCTCTGTGCATGACAAGAAGAGAGAGGCTGCTTGCTGCTTCCTCCCCTATCATTGTGACAACCCCAAATGCTACAGTTGTGCCTTCTGAAAACCAATGGCCTGTGCCATTCAGATAACCTAGAGCCGCAGGAACAGGCTGAGAATAGTGTGTTGACACCTCAGCTTCTTTTTGCACAGGAATGGCTGCTCTGTCCTGTACACCCACAAAGTCAGAGTCTGCCCCACATATGTGATAAGCGAGAGGAAGATGCATCTCTCTCTGCTGCTAGTGAGGTCTCCCCAGGGGCTGGCTCCTTGGACCACAGGAAGGGGCTTAGTTCTCCAGCCCCACTGAGGGCTACCCTCAACCCGCCTGCTGTGCCCTGATGTCTCTTCTTGGGTTGGGGGCACGGGGGGGGGGTCCCCTGACACTGCTTCCCCGGAATGGATGTTAAAGAGAAGAGGAGTTGGGGCTTGTCACTATGCCCTGCCATCATTTTTGTTGTAATTATTTAAAAGCATGGGTTGGATGACTTGTGTTTGTTGGACAGCTGGAATCTGGGCCTGTGATGTGTAATTAGCATCCCCACATTTCTCCCAGGGCCCTGGCCGATACGAGGCAAACGGGGAAGTTAAGCAAAGACCAATTTGCGTTAGCTATGCATTTCATTCAGCAGAAGGTCAGTAAAGGCATCGACCCCCCTCAAGTCCTCTCGCCAGACATGGTCCCGCCCTCGGAGAGAGGCACTCCCATCCCGGTGAGTAGCAGTGCCCACCTCAGGTTTGCGGTCCTTGCTGCCACCTGACACAAGGTGGCGCCGGTGGTCCATGCAAGCCCTACAGTCTGCCTGGGCACCTCCCTGAGGTCCGGCCTTGCCCCAAGGGCCCCGGGAGTGTGGGGCGGTCCATATAATCCCCTGGCCTGGTGGATGGCCTTTTTGCTACCTATGGACTAAAGAGATGATCCTTTTATCCTTGGGCCTAAGACCTGGTAGTTCTTGCTGTTGGGTGATGTCAGTTTGCTAATTAGTGATCTTATGTCTGAATTTCATTCTAGGACAGCTCAAGTTCTCTTGGCTCAGGGGAGTTCACTGGTGTGAAGGAGCTTGATGATATTAGTCAAGAGATCGCTCAGTTACAAAGGTATGTTAGAAATGACTCTTACTCTCCAGGATTGAATGTTACCTGAGCTCCCTCCTAGGTAGTTACTGGAAATATCAGAGGCTTCATTGGAGATTTGATTATCACAAGTTTATGCAGAAAAAAGAAAAGGATGTAGATTCTCCTAATTTCCTTAATTGGCTCAAGAGGCTCAAAGAATAATGTCTTGAATTTGAGTCGGCATAGGCTAGAGCCCATGACAGAGCTGTGTGGTTGCAGGCAGGTTGAACCTTGGTGGTCACATGTACCCAGCTTCTCCCCAGCTCTGGGAAGGCTTTGTTACCAGTGACAGATAGGGCAACTGAGTCTCACATGGTGTGCAGCTGGCTTAGGACCTGACAGCTAAACTGTGTGGAAGGGCCTCATGCCCAAGTCTTTGGCCCCACTCTACAGCTGCTACCTCAGTTTCCTCACATGTAGATGAAGGCTTTGGACAGGCTGTCTGCACTTTTGGAGTCCAGCATAAAGAAAGAAGGTCACTTCCTGTATCCCCCTCTAGGTGCTTTTCAAGAATTAAATTCTCTTTCTAATTCATTCTGGGGGAGGATAGACTCGTAGGATTTTGGGCCACCAAGCAGAAGGCCCCAAAGGTGCTTTGTCCTCCATTGGAAATTGATCATTTTCTTGCCTGAAAATGAAGAGGCTGTTACTTTCCCAGAGAGGACTGGATCCCCCCCCCATAGCCAGAGGCTCCTCAGATGTCATTTTAACAGGTGCCACATTCTGCCATTCTCTCTGGGCTTGCTTTTGTGCTGTCAGCAGAGGCCTGGTGAGCAAAGACAGGTTAGGTCTTGGAGGGGATCAGGGTGGGGGCTGGTTATAAAACCTCAGCCTTCCCCAGGCAAGACCTCCCACTTCATGCTTAGCCCATGGATAGTTCCTGTTCTGTCCCAGCTCCCTGGGGCTTTGTTTCCCAAAACAGAGATCAGTGCATGCAACTGACAAGGCACACGGGGTCTGTGAGGATGGCAGGCCAGTGTCCTGGAGCCTGGGCAGGCCCAAGAACCAGGACCTGCCTGCCAAGGAAGGAGGAAGCCCCTAATAACCAAGAATCATAGTCTCAGAAGGGACACTGGGGTCTGAGTCAGGCCAGGGTAGCCTCAGGTAGCTGGGAGCCTCATTTCACCCTATGAAGGTAACAGCCAAGTGTGTGCAGTAGCCCTTATGCAGATGGCTTTGAAAGTATCCCTTAGGTTTGAGGAGTGTGGGGCTGGACATTCCTCTCATGGTTCTATATAGCTATAATGGGTGGAGTTTAAAGAAGACACTATAGCATTAGTTTCTAAGCTTATGGAAATGGATATTCTGATGACTATAGTTGTTGCACGTCTGGTTGAATGTCCTGAAGAGGGCCTTGTTGTTGTTCAAGTGCTGGATCTCCAGGTAGGAGACAGAGTTTGTTGGACATGTGATGTTCCTACCCCTGAGCAGCCCCTGTGAACACCAGAGCATCTTGGTCCATTCAGGGTGCTATAGCAAACCATGGAGTGGGGGGTTTAAATAAGACATTTCTCATGGCTCAGGAGGTTGAAAAGTCCAAGCTAAGGTACAGCAGATCTGGTGCCTAGTAGGGGCGTGGTTCCCAATTGAGGGACTGCTGCCTTCTTGCTGTGTCTTCACATTTCAGGAGGAGCAGAGAGAGCTTTCTGGGGTCCATGTGATAAGGACACTAAAGCCATTTATAAGCGTTCCACCCTCGTGACCTCATCACCTCCCAGAGACCCTACTGTCTCACATAATCCCACTGGGGTTTAGGATTTCAAAACAGAAATTTAGGGGGACACAGGCATTTAGTTTATAATGAGAGAGAGGAAGGGAGTTGGGCGTCTGAGAAGACAGACCCATGAGCCCCACTGAGCACCTGCTGTGCACAGCGGCCATGTATGTGCAGCCTCCTGCTAGGGACTAGGGAATGTCAGTGCCACTTGTGCTGCAAGTCTGGTGTACTTCCCATCTGTCTCCATCTCACTCCAGACTTCTCACTTTGGCTCCCCCCATCCCAGCTTTGCCTGCCTATTCCTGTCATCTAGAACATTGATCCACTGACTCTCTTCACCCACACACTACCTCCTCAGAGGGTCCTTCCCTGGCTGTCCTGTGCAGGATAGTCCCGCACTGCATTCCTCATTTGTACATTTATCTGTCCTCCGTCTCTCACTCTGACCCATGGACTCCACAGAGGCAGGGGCTTGTTGCCTCATGGAGTGCTCCTGGGGCCCCTGTGCTCAGTTGGCACTCTGAGTAGTAGGTGCTCAGTATTCAGTGAGCAAGTAAATTTTAGGGGTTTAGAGAGGGTGCTGCTTTTCTTTTGCCGTGTAATAAAGCACCCCAAATGTAGTGGCTCCAAACAACACAGATGTGGTAGTTCATGGTTCTAGAGTTCAGAAGTCCAGGGGAGTGCAGTGGTACTCTCCATGGAGGGGATCTCTCAAGGCTGAAGTCAAGATGTCAGCTGGGCTCTTGGAGGCTCTGGGGGAAGTGTTCACTTCCCTGCTCATTTAGGCATTGGCAGAATCCAGCTGGGGTGCCGGCTGGATGAGTCTCTGCTCTTTGAGGCCATTTACATTCTTTTTCATGTGGCACCTTCACCTTCAAGAAAGTGAGGGTGTGCCAGACTTTGTCATCCTTGGGATGTCTCTTGGGTCACCAGGTGGAGAACAGGGTGGTTATGTTAGAAGCGATGCCCACAGTTGAAGGGGAGATTACTGAAGGCAAATGGTCCCTGGGGCTCATTCTTGGACTTTTATCACCACAGAGAGGGGTTAACATGGACGTGTTTTTGTGGCACTGAGAATTGGGTCTTGAGAAGTTGGGTTGGAGAATTATTATTCACTCTGTTTTCATGAAATATTTTTAAACATTCAGAGAGAAATACTCACTGGAACAAGACATTAGAGAGAAGGAAGAGGCAATCAGACAGAAAACCAGTGAAGTACAGGTAAGGATGGCGCTCATTTTGGTTAAATGTACTTTGTGTTAAATGTAGCGCAGGAAAACTTCCCCAGGGTTTGGAGGGAGGGGGCCAGACGCATGAACTCTTGGAGCCTTCAAAGTGTATTTTTTAAAAAGTTTCCTATAACCTACTATATGGGATAGATGCTTGAGAAAGAAAATAAAAAGATTTAAAAGATAAAAGTAATAAAGTTGCCTTTAAATTAAGATAGTTGTCTCTGTGAATCCGCAGGTTCCACATCCAGTGGATTCAACCAACTGCAGATCAAAAGAATTCTACAAATAAAAATTTTAAAAAACGACCAGGCAAGGTGGGTCATGCCTGTAATCCCAGCACTCTGGGAGGCCAAGGCAGATAAATCACCTGAGCTCAGGAGTTCAAGACCAGCCTGAACAACAGCAAGACCACTTCTCTACTAAAAATAGGAAAACCAGCTGGGTGTTGTGTTGGGCGCCTGTAGTCCCTGCTACTCTAGAGGCTGAGGCAGGAGGATCATGTGGGCCCAGGAGTTTAAGGTTGCTGTGAGCTATGACTTCATGGCATTGTACCCAAGGTGACAGAGTGAGACTGTGTCTTAAAAAAAAAAAATTAAAAATTAAAAAAAAATGCAAATTAATAAAACAATACAGTATAATAACTATATAGCATTAACAGTATATCAGGTAGTATAAATAATCTAGAGGTGATTCTAAGTATACAGGAGGATGTGTATAGGTTATGAGCAAATACTAGACCATATATAAGGGGGTTGGGCATCTTTGGATTTTGGTACCACTCCCCCACCAACACCAAGCGATAACTATATATAGTTCAAATAACATAAAATTTGCTATTTTGAATTACACAATTCAGCAGTTTTTAGCATATTCACTGTATTGTCTAATCATCACTTCTGTCTAGTTTCAGAACATTTCCACCACCCCAAAATGAATCCTCACAACGATTAGTACTCATTCCCTATTCCTGCCTCCTCCACACCCTCTCCCCGTCCAACCACACACCTGCTGCCAACTACCTGTCTGCTTTCTGTCTCTGAATTTTTCTTTTCTGCACATTTCAACCCAGGGCCTTTCGAGTCTAGCTTCCTTCATTCTGCACCATGTTTACAACGGTTATCCGTACTACAGCATGTGGAGCATTGCGTTCCTTTTTATATCTGAATACTATTCCATTGTGTGGATGGACACCTTTTATTCATCCATTCATTAGTTGTTAAATATCTGGGTTATTCTACTTTTTGGCTATTGTGAATAGTTTTGCTAAGAACATTTGGGTGCAAATAATTGTGTGAACACCTGTTTTCATTTCTCTCAGGTCTATACCTAAGAACAAAATTGCAAGGCCATAAAGTAACTCTGTTTAACCTATTGAGGAGCCATCAGACTGTTTTTCTTTTTTTTTTTTTGAGACAGAGCCTCAAACTATCTCCCTGGGTAGAGTGCCATGGCATCACTGCTCACAGCAACCTCCAACTCCTGGGCTCAAGCGAGTCTCCTGCCTCAGCCTCCCAAGCAGCTGGGACCACAGGCGCCTGCCACAACGCCTGGCTATTTTTTGGTTGCAGCCGTCATTGTTGTTTGGCAGGCCCGGGTTGGATTCGAACTCACCACCTTAGGTGTATGTGGCTGGCGCCTTAGCCAGTTGAGCCACAGGCGCCGAGCCATCAGACTGTTTTTCAGAGTGGCTGAACCATTTACATTCCTGTAAGCAGTGTGTGAGGCTCCAGTTTCTTCACATCCTCACCAGTGGTGGTTATTTCTTATTTTCTGTCACCACCATACTATGGGTATAGAGTGGGATACCCATCAAACCTCATTGTGATTTTGATTGGCATGTCATTAATGCTTTTCTAATGATGCCAAGCATCTTTTTGTGTGGTGGTTAGCTTCTTGTCTATCTTCTTGGGAGAAAAATTGATTCAGATCTCTTGTCCATTTTTAAATTGGGTTGTCTTTTATAACTGATTTTTAAGAGTTCTTTATTGTTTCTAGAAGTCCCTTGTGGGATATATCAATGGTCCCCAACCTTTTTGGCACCAAGGACCAGTTTTGTGAAAGATAGATCTTTATCGTGGATGGGGCTAGCAGGGTAGGGGATGGTTTTGAGATGATTTAGTGCATTTATTGTGCACTTTATTTCTGTTGTTATAGAAATGCAGAATCAATGGGAGCCCTCAGCTTGTTTTCCTGCAGCTAGACAGCCCTAGCACTGGCTTTACCGCCTTTGCTCCATCTCATCCTCAGGCATTAGATTCTTATAAGGAACACAACCTAGATTCTTTGCATGTGCAGTTTACAGTAGGGTTCAGCTCCTATGAAATTCTAATGCCACCACTGATCAGACAGGAGGTGGAGCTCAGACGGTGATGTGGGCAATAGGGAGCAGCTGTAAATACAGTTGAAACTGCTGGCTCACCGACCGCTCACTTCCTTCTGTGTTGCCTGGTTCCTGACAGCCTATGGATTGGTACTGGTCTGTGGCCCAGGGCTTGGGGACTGCAGAGATATATGACTTGCAAATATTTTCTCCTGTTTTTTGTCATTTCTTTTTCTTGATGGTGTCCTTTGAAGCTCAAAAATTTCTAACTTTGGTATGTCCAGTGTATCTATTTTTTATTGTTGTCATTCTTTCTTTTGGTATCATATCTGAGGACCCATTGCCAAATCCAAGGTCACAAAAATGTAGCCCTGTGTTTTCTTCTAAGAATTTTATAGTTTTAGCTTTTACCTTCGAGTCTTTGACCCATTTCTAGGTAATGTTTGTATATAGTGGGAGGTGGGGTCCAGCTTCTTTCTTTTGCACATGGAGATCACCATTTGTTGAAGAGACTGTTCCTTACTCCACTGAATGGTCCTGGCACCCTTGTTGAAGAACAGTTGTCAGCAGCTATATGGGTTTATTTTTAGATTCAGCTCTGTCCCAATGATCTATACACCTCTGCTTATGCCAAGACCATCCTGGCTTGATTACTACAGAAGGTACAAAATCACAAAGTGTGAGTCTTCTAGCTCTGTCTTATTTGTCTAGATTATTTCAGCTATTTTGGACTCCTTGTATTTTGGTATGAATTTTGGAATCAGCTTGTTATCATTTTCTGTAAAGAAACTAGCTGGTATTCTGATAGGGATTGTGTTGAATCTGTAGACCGTCAGGGTTATTTTTATGTTCTCCTTACTCTGACACCCCCACCTCCATGCCATGAGCAGCCCCCTTCCTCACCTTGAGTTGGTGTTTTTTTGTCCCCACGGTACTCTTCAATGGTTCCTTTTTCCATTATGGAATGAGGCCTAGATCCCTTGATGTCTCAGGCTATTGGTCACCTATTGTCTCAGGCTAACCCACTGGGTGAGAGATATGTGTCAGCGTAGTGAGTATGAGGGGATGTCTGCCCTAAGCTTAGGCCTAGCGGGCAGTTTCTTTCTTTGAGTCTCACTTTCTTTTCTTTTTTGAGACAGAGTCTCAAGCTATCGCCCTTGTTAGAGTTCAGTGGCATCACAGCTCACAGCAACCTCAAACTCTTGGGCTTAAACAATTTTCTTGCCTTAGCTTCCAAGTAGCTGGGACTATAGGTGCCCACCACAATGCCCAGCTATTTTTTGTTGTTGCAGTTGTCATTGTTGTTTAGCTGGCTCAGGCTGGGTTTGAACCCGCCAGTCCCAGTGTATGTGGCCGGCACTCTACCCACTGAGATACGGGCACTGTCCCAGAGTCTCACTTTCTTGCCTCCAGTAGAGTGCTGTGGCATTATACCTCACAGCAACCTCAAATTCTTGGGCCCAAGGAGTCTACCTGCCTCAGCCTTCCAAGTAGGGACTATAGGCGCCTACCACTACACCTGGCTGGTTTTTCTAGAAATGGTGTCTTACTCTTGCTCAGGCTGTTCTTGAACTCATGAGCTCAATTGATTCACCTGCCTTGGCCTCCCAGAGTGCTGGAATTATAGGTGTGAGCCACCACGCCCAGTCCTAGCAGGCAGTTTCATAGGACTTCTTAGGGGCTCTGGCCCAAGCTGGTTCTGTCATCTCAGACATGCCTCATTTGTACCAGCCTTAAGTAAATCCCCAACTCTTTTCTAGGAATTGCAAAATGATTTAGACCGGGAAACAAGCAGTTTGCAAGAGCTTGAAGCTCAAAAACAAGACGCTCAAGATCGCCTTGATGAAATGGACCAGCAGAAGGCCAAACTGCGAGACATGCTGAGTGACGTCAGACAGAAGTGCCAGGATGAGACCCAGATGGTGAGTCAGAGCCACCTCCTGGGGGTGGTGCCCAAGGGAGAAGAGGGGGCTTCCTGAGGGCTTCTCTGAGCTCCGGTTTGTCTGGAAACAGAATGCTAAGACACCCTATCACTTTAGCAGAGTTGTTTAAAACATCAGGTGGAAAAGTGTCCAAGCCCTGTGGCTGGACCTCTGAGTTACCCACCTGCATTCCCTAGAGACCAAATTGTGTAAGCAAATGGCCTTGGTTCCTATGAACCTGTGCCCCAAGGACACCTCATGCTGGCCTGTGCCCCACATTATGGGGGTTCCCAGGGTACCTCTCCTGCCTCTTCTAGAGTCTGTGTTCCTCGTTATAAACTAGGGAGGCTGTAGCCTCAGCAAACTGTGTGGGGCCACACTACTCCTGGGGGACATGGATTGCTCATGCTTGGTCATAGCCTTCCTTATTCCAGCATGACCTTCTGGCAGTCACACAGGCATGAGCCTGTCTCTACCTTTCCATTCATGTCTCCTCTTTAGGTGTAGAAAGGGGGCCTTATAAGGAAGCCAGGTGTCTGCGCTAGAGCAAGGTATCTGCCTCCCTGGGTCAGCTCGTTTGAGAAGTTCAAAAATGTGAACCAGATTCTTTCTTGGAGTTGCATTGCATCCTATCCTTTGAATCCTTATGGTATCTCATTTCAGATTTCATCATTGAAAACACAAATCCAGTCTCAGGAATCTGACTTAAAGTCCCAGGAAGATGATCTGAACCGGGCCAAGTCAGAGCTGAACCGATTGCAGCAGGAGGAAACCCAGCTGGAACAGAGCATCCAGGCTGGGCGAGTCCAACTGGAAACCATCATCAAGTCTCTTAAGTCAACTCAAGACGAAATCAACCAGGTATTTCAGTGGGGACAGAGTCCTCACTATGTGCACGTGCGTAGCTTAAGCCAGGGATCTTCTGGGATCTTCTGCCAAGCAGAGACTGCTGCTGTGAGCAGTCATGACGTCGGTGCATGTGACCAGTGAACTCTTGAGTGTCTGGGCTGCCACTGTTGTTTTCCTTTGCGCTCACCCACCTTGTCTACATTAGGGTTTCTCCTCCCATGCAGTGCTGAGAACTCCTCAGATGTACTCCCAAGTCGCACTGACATTGGCCTGGAGGGCAGTGTGCTTACCTCATTTGAGTGCACTTCATTTTCAGGGAGTAGGCAGGGGGTGGGTGAACTCCTTTGGAGAGAGCTGGTGTGGGGGTTGGGAAATGCTCTTTCTAGCCTGGTCCTCACATAAGAGGCAGGAAAACAAGCAGTTTAAAAACAAAGCATGACCTCTCTGTTTCTCTGTGAGAGAATAAAAGTGATCCTCTAAGGCAGGTGTCCTCAAACTATGGCCCACGGGCCACATGTGGCCCACCTAGGACATTTATCCGGCCTGCCGGGTGTTTTGCTGCCACTGCCTGTCCTGCTTAACAGCCAACTCGTCCCAGGGCCCGTAGTCTGGCCCTCCAAGGGTCTGAGGGACAGTGAACTGGCTCCCTGTTTAAAAAGTTTGAGGACCCCTGCTCTAAGACCCCTGCTCAATTCAGAACTTGGTGTGTTAAAGAGGCACCACTTTATAGCAAGCGTCATCTCACTTGGGACCTCCATCCAGTCTCCAAGCTGCCCAGGGTGCCCCCGTGCTCTTCCTCAGTCCAGGGTGACCCTGGCTCTCATGGTATGCAGCTGCTGCCCACTGCAGGGCCAGGGCCTTTCCCTGCTACCTCACGTGTGGTGGTCAGAGGCCTCCATGCTGGCACATGTCACAGTGGCTAGCCACGTTTTCTTTCTTAACCAGTCTGTGCTCTGTATGCTGTTAAAAGTTGATCAGAAATTTGATGTCTTATATTGTGCTTTATAGTTAATTAATATCTGTAGGATTATTTTCAATATTTTCCCTTCCAATCCTAAGGGTTCGTAATGTCTATATGGGAGCCACAACACAAGTGTATGTGATAATGATAATTATTATTATAGTAGGATGATAATAATTAGCTGGTGCTAATGCCACCCTTCCAGACACTGCAGTACAGATGTTGCTTGACTTATGATGAGGTTATGACCTGATAAACTTACCGTAAATTGAAATACTACAAATGGAAAATGGGCATTTTGTAGCCATGGCATATGCAAAACACAAAATATGATGTCTAGAAACCACTGGCAGCACAGCACAGTGCAGCGCAGAGTCCTAGTGTTTGCCCAAGTGATCGTGTGGCTGACGGGGACCCTCGGCTCATGGCTGTTGTCCAGCACTGCGGCAGAGTGTCCAACCACTTATGATTACCCTGGGAGAAGATCAAAATTCGGAGTACAGTATCTACTGAATTCAGATCAGTTTCATACCCTCATAAAGTCAAAAGATGGTAATTCAGACCAGTGTATGTCGAGGACTGTCTGGCAGGCAGGAATTCTACCACTGAACCACCATGTGTTGAGGACTATCTGTGGGTACTTTCCCTATCATTTCTAATGTTCCATTTTGGAGAAGATTCATATGCTAGCCTGGGGGTCACATAGCATGAACACACACACCTATGTCTCTGACTTTGCAGATTGTCCCTCTTTCCCTGTCTTTACATCGCCTTCTGCAGGAACAAGGAGGAACACATGGGACAGTAAAAACCCCATAAAAGAAAGTTACCATCTCTGGGACTGGGGATACAAAGAGACCCTCTTGGAGTAGTGAGGAGGTCATGCCTTGGTATATAAGCTGTCTCATTTCTATCTGCCAGTAAGGTTTTCTCTTTACTCCTGACCCATGTGAATTGCCTGGAGTCAGGTGTCAGGAGCAAAAATGTCTTGCCTGTTAGGTTTTCCCAAACCCTGCTTGATGCTGGCCATGTCTTTGTTGTGCAGGCAAGAAGCAAGCTGTCCCAGCTGCACGAGAGCCACCAGGATGCCCACCGGAGCCTGGAGCAGTATGACCAGGTGCTCGATGGGGTCCACGGTACTAGCCTGACCGACCTGGCCGACCTGAGTGAAGGAGTCTCCTTGGCAGAGAGGGGCAGTTTTGGAGCCATGGTAAAGGTTGAATAAATGTATTACAGTCCTGGGATACCACCTCCATTGTGAAACGAGAACGCCCCACCCACTGGAACAGTCCATAGCTGACTTTGGTTCTGTCTGAGCTCAGGCTGTTTCTGGCTTTCACTGCCATTTTAAGTGTTCTCACCAGCCTCACAGTTCAGCGTGAGTGGCTGAGGTCCATCCTGGTATCCAGAACAAAACCCAAGACAGACCTGAATCTCTTGCAAAGATTCAGGCCTCCATCTCCTAGGAAGCATTTACATTGGGCCAACTACCTAAAGATTCAGGCCTCCATCTCCTAGGAAGCATTTACATTGGGCCAACTACCTAAAGTCACAGGGTTTCTCAAACTTAATGAAGATGAAATTGGATCAGTGTCTTTGCTCATTGTGGAAACTCTACATTCTATGAGTTTCGGGGGCATTGGAGCATACATACATGTGTGTGTTATGTGCATTTCTGCAAGGAGCACCTTGAATATCAAATGTCTCACTGAAGATCAAGAAAAATGACAGGAAACCCTCCCAGGGCATTGCTGATTCAACTACAAATTGGGCTTTCTCCTGAAATTGTGGCTGTTTAAAACCTCAGCACTTTATTTTAGACCCCTTGACCCTGGGACTATGAACAGATCCTCCATGGTTGGGAGCTGTTGGTTACTTAAATTTCTGTATACTCAGAATACATGACCTACATCAGATTGCCCCCCCCATCCCCCATTTACACCAGAGCCTATCATTGCAGCCTTGAACCCAGGCACCTGTGGTTTCCAGTTTCCTCTGGCCAATGAGCAGGTCTTGTGCTGTTGAGGGAGCGGACGGGATGGCCTGTGGCTGGTCTTGATGTTTCGTGGTGCTCTGCTGCCTTTAATAGCTCACCTTTCGCTGAGACTTGCTCTTCAGAGCTCTTCCAGAGCCCCTCTGCTCCTGGCCTATTTGCGTCATGAATTCCTTCTTCTCACTGTAATAGTATAGGCTGTCTGTCTCTAAACACCAGACTGGCCTCTTTGTATTCATTCCTTGACATGTCTCTTTTCTCAGTAGCCCAGTACTCAGTCCCAGGAATTTACAGGGAAGCACACACCTCCCCTGGGTTGCTTAGAAGACACTGTTGGCAAGTTCATCCATCTCTTGCCTCCGGCCCAAGCCGGGTGTGTTGCCTCCCTCTATCCTCTCTTATCTTTTCTCTTGAACTGTAAACAGGTGAATTCTGTGTCTTTACCCGGGCCCATCATCAGCTTTGTCTTCTAAATTTAAACAATAAGCATTCATCATTTATGAATTACATGAAACTGGAATTCCTTGCTTTGCTCCTGCCTGTTCTCGGTGTGTGTTTATGCCTCACGGCCCTGCTCTTAATTTTCCCATCTGGCATCGTTTTCCCTTGCTCAGCTTTTGGCTTGCCCCATTGTGTCTTAGTCTGGGGAACAGATCCCTCTTACATGTCCCTTTGCAGGTTTTTAAAAGATTGATTTCCTTGGAAAAAAGTTGACAGTGAAGTTGGCAGTTTACAAGTGGCCAGTGAACCTCTCCCTTTCCACACACAGATTTTTACCTTTCTTGTTACTTTTGTTCATCTTTTATGTGGGGCAAAGTTTACATAAGAGTCGATTACTCCTGGAATGTAGACATCAGATATGTTACATAGGAACCTGTAACCAGTGTCTGAAAGAAAAACTATCATTATCTTGTTGTATAAATACAATTTTTAAAGTTTTTTTGGTTTGTTTCCATTTCTTAATAAATACTTTGAAGAAGGTATTTTTTTTTTTTTTTGTTTTCTCCTAAACATTTTGAGACCGTTCAGGTATAAAGACTGTCACAGGGGATTATGGGGGGTGGGGGGCCTAGGTCCCTGAGAAGAGTATAACCAAAGTGTTGCATCTGAAACTTTCTGTGTCTGGGTATTTTATCCAAGTTAACCAAGTTCTTAAGCTCACACGATGAGACTTTGTCCAAGAGACACAGGGTTCTTAAAGCCCTATTCATTTCTTGTCTCTCATCTGATTATGACAATTTTGGCCTCTTGCATAGATAACCAACATGTCTAGTAGAAAGATTGTAATAATAAACCATCGCAGACTTAAATCTCATTGAGAACTCGTCATGCAAGATTGGGTCAAGTCTCCAGTGGCAATTCAGAGCCAGTTCTTTTTTTTTTTTTTTTTTTGTAGTGTTTTTTTAGCTGGGGCTGGGTTTGAACCTGTCACCTCCTGTATATGGGGCTGACGCCACTCTTTGAGCCACAGGAGCTGCCTCTTTTTTTTTTTTGAGACAGATTTTCATTATGTTGCCCTCAGTAGAATACCACAGTGTCACAGTTCACAGCAACCTCAAATTCTTGGGCTTAAGAGATTCTCCTGCCTCAGCCTCCCAAGTAGCTAGGACTATAGGTGCCTGCCACAATGCCCAGCTGTTTTTTTTGTTGTTGTTGCTCTTGTTGCAGTTGTTTAGTTAGCCTGCGCGGGGTTTGAACCCATCACCCTCGGTGTATGTGGCTGGTGCCATAACCACTGTGCTATGGGCGCTGAGCCAGAGCTAGTTCTTATTGACTCTCCAGAACTAATTTTTAACTAAATAGGAACTCATGAGCTGGTTGTTAAACATATGGTAACTTGAAACTGACTGTGGTGGGCATATTTACACCACTGGAATTGGCAGACACTCTAAATCAGGGCTTTTTTTCCTCTGAGAACTAGTTTTTCGGCACACCTCTGCCCAGCATTCTTCAAAAGGGAAGGAACATCACAGAAACTTCTTTAGTGTCCTTTCAGAGTTGCTGTGTCTGTCTTGTAAAAAGAGCAAAATTTAAGACTGGTTGCTGAACTTGATCAAGATATTCTACCTCTGTGAGGAGATTATCATTCAACCCGGATTTGTCTGTGGTATTTGTATCCCCCAAGTTGGCAGGTGGGTCAGTTCTTCTTGGTATAGTGAAGTTGATGGTATCTCTCACTTTCTTTTTTTTTAGGGACAGGGTCATGCTCTGTCTCCCAGGCTGGAGTGCAATGGTGTGGACACAGCTCACTATAAATTTCTGAGCTCAAGTGATCCTTCCGCCTCAGCCTCCTGAGTAGCTGGGACTATAGGCCTGTACCACCACCCAGAGCTAACTTTTAAATATTTTGTAGAGAAGAGGTCTCATTATGTTGCCCAGACTGGTCTTCTATTTCTGGCCTTAAGTGATCCTCCCGCCTCAGCTACCATGCCCTGCTTGATGGAATCTTTATAATGCAGGGAAGTGTAATTTTCCGCTCTGAATTTATGAAATGGAATCAAAGCCACCGTTAGTTACTCTAACCACCTGAATCCTGCCAGGATTCAGGGCTTAGGGCTTCTCCCTTGAAGAGGAAGGAGTGATTGCAGCTTTATGTGGATAATTCCTCCTAAGAGGGCGATTACAGGCCCTGCTCACTGCAGGAATCTTACAGCCAGAGTTTCCATAATCTGAAGTCTCTTCTCTCATACCATATGCTCATTTGGCAGTCTTCCAAGCAACAGTTGAAAATACTGAAAAAAAGAAAGAAAAGACACCCAACATGTAAATAAATGTCAACTAAAAACTAAACAGAAGCTTCCATTCTGAAGCCAAGCTGTCATTCTTTACTTACCACTTTATTCAGGTCATGATCCTGTCCTTCTTCTAGAACAAATACATTCCTTTCCCCACAGTGCATCGTGAGAAGTGTATTTTCCACCCTGGCCTCCTGGCTTCCTTAGATTAGGACTTCTCCATCAGTATTTATGTGTCCGAGAACACTATTGGATGCTCATTGGGCACGTGCATCTTGTGGTCGTCAGCACTATGACGTCCAAACAGAATCCCGGCACTGTTTCCAGACGTGGTGCTCTTGGACATCTGTTCTTAACTTGTCTAGGAACCCAGCTTGGTTTCCCCATCTTGGGAAGCCCTGTGGTCGGAGGCTCCAGCTAATCTTTCCCAGGTAAGAAAACGGTTCTGTATTCAGCAGACAGCAGGGATGTTGGTGCTAAGGAAGGGCTAAGGAAGAGGTCCCTGTGCTGACTCAGGCTCATTCATATCCTGGACCAGTGGCTTCTTTTAACCTAGGACCTCTGAGAACCATCCCGTGCCCCTAAGTCAGCTGCCCCAAGGAGGTAGCAGCATTGTTAGGAAACCTCCTCTAGGACCTTTGACATCATTGTCCCAAACCATTATTGTCCACATGTTTATGGAAACCCTAGCTTTTTAATTATTTGGTTTTGGTTGGTTGGAATACTGGATTGGTTTGCCAGTCCAACACAAAGATGCCAATACATTTGCTAAATTCAGTGAGTATGATGCTTTTTTTAATATCACAGTGAAACATTTGTGTTTTCACTAACGGCATGTCTTTTTAACTAAAATATACTGCTTAGTTCTAAACCAACTGTATTGTTCCTGTGGATTTTATAAACCCACTCCTTATAGGCTATTTTCCACTATAAAAATCTGCTCTTCAAAAGTAAATTTTTTTTTCTTTTGGCTTTAATATGCCTGGTTTATTTCTAGAAATAAGCACCTTTTTTAAAAACTGCAAAGTGTTATACATGCTTTAGTAATTCTAAATGCATAAATACTTCCTCATAGAGCATAAACAACTAGCATATTTCTTTTGTTTCTTTCTTTCTTTTTTTTTTTTCTGGAGACAGAGTCTCACTGTGCTGCCCAGGCTAATAGTAGTGTGGTATCAGCCTTGCTCATAGCGACCTCAAATTCCTGGGTTCAAGTGATTCTCTTGTCTCAGCCTCCCTAGTAGCTGAGGCTACAGGCACTCACCACAACAGCTGGCTAATTTTTCTGTATTTAGCAGAGATTGAGTCCCGCTCTTGCTCAGGCTGGTTATTTTTTGTTTGTTTGTTTTTTGTGACAGAGTCTCACTCTGTTGCCTATGGTGTCATAGATTAAGCAACCTCAGTTTCTTGGGCTCAAGAGATCCTCTTGCCTCAGCCTTCCAAGTAGCTGGATTACAGGTGCCCACTATAATGCCCAGCTAGTTTTCTATTTTTAGTAGAGACAGGGGCTTGCTCTTGCTCAGGCAGGTCTTGATCTCCTGAGTTCAAGTGATCCTCCTATGTCGACCTCCCAGAGTACTAGGATTACAGGCATAATCCACCATCCCCAGGCACTACTAGCACTTCTTGGTATGGAAAGTACTTTTTTTTTTAGAGATAGTTTCACTTTATTGCCCTCAGTAGAGTGCTATTGGCATCACAGCAACCTCCAACACCTAGGCTCTAGGCGTCCTCAAACTATGGCCCGTGGGCCACATGTGGCCCACTGAGGACATTTATCTGACCCGCCAGGTGTTTTTGCCACTGCTGCCTGTCCTGCTTAGCAGCCAACTTGTTCCGGGGCCTGTAGTCCAGCCCTCCAATGGTGTGAGGGACAATGAACTGGCCCCTTGTTTAAAAAGTTTGAGGACCCCTGGCTTAGGTGATTCTCTTGCCTTACCCTCATGAGTAGCTGGGACTACAGGCATCCGACACAATGCCCAGCTGTTTTTTTGTTGCAGTTTAGCCAAGGACAGGTTCAAACCCACCACCCTCTGTATATGGGGCCGGTGCCCTACCCACTGAGCCACAGGTGCCGCCCAGGAAAGTACATTTTTAACACATTAACTGCCACTTGAATTAACTTACGGCTAGTTTTCAGCCTAAGGCCTTCTGAAGCATAGGTCATATGTCTCTTGACCTATCTTTTTTTTTTTCCTTCCTAAGACAGACTCTCACTCAGCTGCTCTGGGGTTGAGTGCTGTGACGTTATAGCTCACAGCAACCTCAAACTCTTGGGCTCAAGTGATCCTGTTGTCTCAGCCTCCTGAGTACTGGACTACAGGTGCCTACCACCATGCCTGGCTAGTTTTTCTATTTTTAGTATAGATGGGGTCTTGCTTTGTTCAGGCTGGTCTCAAACTTGTGAGCTCAGGCAGTCCACCACCTTGGCCTTCCAGAGTGCTAGTATTACAGGCATGAGCCACCAAGCCCAGCCTACCTATCTTGACCTAATACTGTGACCCCATGGGAAAAAATTTTTTTCTAGTGTGACAGTCAGTGTGTTAAAAAATATCCACCTGGGTACACATTTACCAAGAAAAAGATAAATTTGTAGTGGGAGAGGGTCACACCTTTAGAATGAGGCCTGTGCTGCAATTGTTGAATGGCTCTTTACATTTTTTTGGTAATATTTCTAAAAACATTGCTTTTTTTCCCAATTCAATGATTAAAAATTTTTTTTTTTAATTTTGGTAAGTAGACATAGAAATTACCATCATAGGCTCAGTGCCCGTAGCTCAGTGAGTAGGGCACTGGCCATATACACTAAAGCTGGCCCATTCAAGCCTGGCCTGGGCCTGCTAAACAACAATGACAACTGCAACCAAAAAATAGCCAGGTGTTGTGGTAGATGCCTGTAGTCCCAGCTACTTGGGAGGCTGAGGCAAGAGAATCGCTTAACCCCAAGAGTTTAAGGTTGCTGTGAGCTGTGATGCCAAGGCACTTTACCGAGGGTGACATAGACTGTGTCTCAAAAAAAAAAAAAAAAGAAATTACTATCATAACCATCTTTCGAGAGTGCAATTTAGTACTAATTATGTTCCTATTGTGTGACCAAGCTCCAGAATGTTTTCATCCCCGTCAAACACCAACTGCCCATCCTCCTTTCCCAGCCCCTGGCACCCACCATTCTACTTTCCATCTTTATGAATTTAACTATTCTAGGGACCTCCTACGAGTGAGATCACACAGTAGTTGTGTTTTTGTGACTAGTTTCATGTAGCATCATGTCCTCAAAGTTCATCCCCGGTGTAGCACATGTCAGAATTTCCTTCCTTTTAAAGGCTGAATAATATTCTGTTGTATGGAGGGATCACATTCATCCATTGATAGACATGTAGGTTGCTTCCAATCAATGATTTCTTAATGAACTTTTATTTTATACATGTATGTATGTATGTATTTATTTATTTTGAGACAAAGTCTTGCTCTGTTGCCTTGGCTAGTATGCAATGGCCCAATCTTAGCTCACTGCAATGTTGGACTCCTGGGCTCAAGCAATCCTCCCATCTTAGCCTCCCAAGTAGCTGGAACTACAGGCCCCTGCCACCATGTCTGGCTATTTAAAAAAAATAATTTTTAGAAAAGAGGTCTTACTATGTTGCTCAGGCTGGTCTTGAACTCCTGGACTCAAGCAGTCTTCCCCCTTGGCCTCTCAAGTAGTTGGGACTAGAGGTGGGAGCCACCACACCTGGCTAATTTTTCTATTTTTAGTAGAGACAGGAGGTCTCACTCTTGCTCAGGCTGGTCTTATACTCCTGAGCTCAAGGGATCCTCTTACCTTGGCCTCCCAAAGTGTTGGGATAGTAGATGTGAACCCATGCCCTGCCTGAACTTTTGTTTTAGAATAATTATTAAAAAATTGCAACGATAGAGCAGAGTTCCCACATACCCCCTACCCAATTTCCTCGTTCACCTCTTATGTTGTATGTTTGTCACAACTGATAGAACCAGTGTCAAACATTGTTCAGTAAAGTCCATACTTAGAATAATTTTTTTTAAGATCATTCTTTTTAGGGTCATACTACTTTAAGTGGAACTGTATATTAGATATGGAATTCTGCACTTTGCTTTAAATCAGAAATAATAAAATCCCTGTCCTGTTTCTTCACAAAATTATAGGATGATCCTTTCAAAAATAAAGCCTTGTTATTTAGCAACAATACACAAGAATTGCACTCGGATCCTTTCCAGGCAGAAGACCCCTTCAAATCCGACCCATTTAAAGGAGCTGACCCTTTCAAAGGTATCTCACTTGGTACTCACTTTCTTATTGAGAGGCTGTTTATTTTTATGTCATTTGGAGTTGTTGAATGGCTTGAAAAGTGAGGAAATACCATGATCTGAAATGGAGGAGGAAAGGAAATCTTTGAGCCTTATTGGCCTCTTGAGTTTGTTTTCTCAACCTATTAACTACAGAGCTGAGGTGTTGAGATATATTGGGAAGAGCCACTAGCTCACGTCGAGATTTCCAAGTTTGAGGGCATCTGCGTTGGTCTTTAAGCTCTCCAAAGTTTCAATTTCCTAATCCCTCAGCAGTTTAATAGACTCTTTCTTGCTCATCTTGAAGGCTGGATAATGACAGATCCAATAATGGTTATGAAAGTACTGAGCAAACCGTAGATGACTGCATAAATCAAGGTCTTAATGCTCTTTAAGAATTTATTCAGAGTCACATATGTATCTAGAATAACTAAGAAGAATTCAGAAACAAGATTTCCTAACTTCTCTCCATTTTTCAGAGCAAAACAGTATTTCCAAGAAGGTTTTCTGTACGTTTTCTGTGAAAAGTACTGATGCAGGAAGAGGAGAATGGGAGCTTCCTCCAAGTTTCAGATTTGGGGTTGAAGTATCTTACGTCTGAGAGATGAATCAGGCAGTTCCCAAAGTTCAAGTGTGTTAGCCGTGAAACATGGGATGGCCCCAGGGTCCTTTGTCCTCTTAGATGGTAGGTGGCAGGCAGTGAGATCAGGAACACATGACATAGAAAGGGAGGAGTGAATTCTGACTTTGGCTTGTTCAACACTTTCCCTCACTCTAGCCTGCGCTGAGCAGCCAGTAACACCTCTGTCTCTCTGTAAATGTTCTAGCCAGAGCAGCTGCTGCTCCCAGACTCCTCCTTTGATTTGCTGAGGTTGATGCGGGGATGTTCATTAGGGGACAGGATGGTGAGAAGCAAGTAACATTTGCTCACTAAATTGGGGGTGGGGTAGAAGTCAACAAAAGGCCTCGCTGGTGAGCAGCCACATCCAGGTGACCTACTTGGTGCTGTTCTTCGCCCCAGAGCTAATCAGCATTTCCCTTCTCTCCAATCTAGGTGACCCCTTCCAAAACGACCCCTTTGCAGAGCAGCAGATAGCTTCAACAGGTAAAAGCCTTTGTTAAATGTTTCCTGGACTAGTCCTCAGAATATGGCAGAGGGAAGGTTAGTTCTAGAAGGAACCTGGTAACGAGAATGGAGAACTTGAGCAGCAGCTTCTGGTAGCCAGGTGGTTATTGGGCTGTGCCCACAGCAACTTGGTCACTTGTGCCGAAGTCATCTGTGTTTAGGTGTTCCATGCAATACCCACACTTGGTGGGACCTCTGTCCACACACACTGGGGATGGCAGCGGTATAGACAGAGAGGGACAGTTGGCATTGCACACAAGCCTGGTGCCTCATTCCTTCTGGTGATGGCTCCCCCGCTCCTGGTGTTATCACTGAACCTGCACCCACTCCAGGACGTTCTAGGGGGAAACTGGGGACACAGTTGGTGTTGGGATCAGGTTGCCTGCTAGTTTATTTCTTTTTCCTTTTTTGAGGTGAAATTCATATAACAATTCATTATTTTAAAGTGTCCAACTTAGTAGTATTTAGCACATTCACCAGGTTGTGGCTGCACAACCAGGATGTGCATCACCCCAGAGGGAGACCCTGGTTCCAGGATGTTCTCATCACCCCAGAGGGAGACCCTGTCCCTAGTAGCAGTTACTCTCTACATTCTCCCCCCTGCCCAGCCTCTGATGGCCACTAATCTTCTATCTCTATTTATGGATTGATCCATGTTGTTTTATTGTTTTTAAATCAGGTTTATTAAGAGGCATAATAATGTACAACAGAATCTGCTTATTCTGAGCGTCTGATGAGATGAGTTTTGACAGATGTGTGCAGTCAGAGAACAGTTCCCTCATCCCCAAACGTTCCCCTGTGCTCCTTTGGTGTCACCTACCAGTCTGCCCCAGGCCCTCTGGTCATCACTGACCTGCTTTCTGTTACTAGAGTTTTTGGCTTTTCTAGAATTTTATGTAAATGGCATCATTCAGTGTTCTTTTATGCCTGCATTCTTTTACTAAGTATAATGTTTACTCATGGGACATTTTTCCTTCATTTCCCTGGACCTTCCAGATCCATTTGGAGGGGATCCTTTCAAAGAAAGTGACCCATTTCGTGGCTCCACTAACGACGACTTCTTTAAGAAACAGACGAAGAACGACCCTTTTACCTCAGACCCGTTCACAAAAAACCCATCCTTACCCTCAAAGGTAAGTGGGGCAGGACGTCAGCGGAGAACTGTGTGTGCACTCTGTGTATGTCATGGCAGTGCTTCCTGACAGCTGGCCCATCTTCATGGAGTAAGTCCCTAGTGTGCTCACTCTTCACTCTTGTCACTAATGTGAACTGTGGTGTCTATTCTTCAGGAGCTGCTGTCCCAGCCGTTCTCACTCCTAGATAGCAGCAAGGCAGCCATTGGCCTAGTCACTGAGGCAGGGATTCACTTGTAATGTTTTCTTTTTAGCCTTCTTAAAAAATGTCTTTACTTGATTGTTCAGTCAGTTACAGATTGAACTCTTTGTTCACTCTTTCCCCTCTTCTCACTACTGTACTTAGTAGTCTTAAAAATAATAAAGAAATAAAAATTTAAAATGTCTTTAAGATCTGTAGTGAGACTCTCCCTTTTCCTCCTGGTATCAGTGATCCACTTATCAATGTTGTTTGTTTTCTGTTTCATTAATTTCTTCTGTTATTTTATTATTTCTTTCTTCCTATTCATTTTGGGTTTACTTTGCTCTTCCTTTTTTTTTTTTTTTTTTTTGAGATAGAGTCTCAAGCTGTCACCCTGGGTAGATTTCACAGCAGCCTCCAACTCTTGGGCTTAAGCGATTCCCTTG